GAATACTCTCGGTAGCTTGCTGGGCTCTCCGAGAGGGGGCGGAGGAATTGAACTCGGGTCGGCCATGTTGGCCACTTGTAAGGCGAACGCCCTACCCGCTGTTTTTACTTTTATTTATTTATTTTTGGATCACACCTGGAGATGTACAGGGGTTACTCCTGGCTTTGCACTCAGGAATTACTCCTGGCGGTGCTCAGGGGACTATATGGGATGCTGGGAATCGAACCTGGCTAGGCCTCGTGCAAGGCAAATGCCCTACCCACTATTCTATCGCTCCAGCCCCTAAGAAGATTCTTAATTTAATGTAGTTCCTTGTGTTTATCTTTGCTTCCCCTCGCTTGACCAGTCGTGTTTCATCCTTGAAGATGCCTTTAGTTTCAATGTCATGGAGAGTTCTGCCTATGATTTTCTCTGTGTACCTTATGGATTCAGGTTTGATCTCAAGGTCTTTAATCCATTTTGATTTGACTTTTGTGCATGGCATTAGAAAGAGGTCTGAGTTCTCTTTTTTTGGCCTGTGGCTGACCAGTTTCTCTGCCAACAATTGTTGAAGAGACTCCTTCCTCCGCTTCAAAATTTTTGCTCCTTTATCAAAGATAAACTGATCATATTCTTGGAGGTCTGTCTCTGAATTTCCAGTTCGATTCCAGTGGTCAGAGGGTCTGTCTTTATTCCAGTACCATGCTGTTTTAGATGCTTTGTAGTACAGTTTGAAGTTGGGAAGAGTGACACCTAGATGTGGATGGACATGGGGAGTATTGTGTTTAGTGAAATGAGACAGAGGGAAAGAATGGAATGAATGATCACATTAGTTTCCAGGATATAAAGAAACACAGTAGGAGAATAATACCCAAAGACAATAGAAACAAAGGTCAGGGGGATGGGTCCTGAGTAGGAAGCTTGCCATGGGTGGCAGGGGTGGGGGGGGTGGGGAGGGTGGTTAGGACAGGGAGGATTATGACAATGAGAGTGAGCAGTGAGCATTCTGGCAAGAACTGGTGCTGAAAGGAAGTAAAGTGATATGCGTGATATCTTTTCAGTAACAGTACTGCAAACCACAGTGCCTAAAAGGAGAAAAGAAAGTTTCTGTCATAGAGGCAGGCCAGGGGTGGGGGCTGGGAGAGAAATTGGAGAGATTGGTGAAAGGAAGTGGAGGCTGGTGAAAGGATGGGTGCTCGAACATTGTACAGTTCAAACTCAATCATGTATCTCATGGTGATTCAATAAAGTTTTTAAAAAGTCTAGAACCCTTTAAGTGAAATTAAAAGTTCTATTTCTGGGGACCAGAGTGACAGTACAGTGAGTAGGGCACTTGCCTTTCATGGGACCAACGCTGGTTTGATCTTCAGCATCCCATTTGGTCCCCTAAGTATCCCCAGGAATAATTCCAGAGCACCGAGCCAGGATTAACCCCTGAGCATCACTGCGTGTGGCCCCAAAATCAAAACCAGAAAAATCTATTTCTGGGTGGGAGAGATAGCACAGTGGGGAAGGTGTTTGCCTGGCACAAAGCTGACATGGGTTCAGTTCCCAGCACCCCTTAAGGTTCCCTGAGCCCTGTCAGGAGTGATCCTTGTGCACAGAGCCAGGAGGAAGCCCTGAACATAGCCGGGGCTGTGCCCAGAAACAAACAAAAGAAAATTCCCTTCCTTTAGGACAGTCACCCCAGTTCACTCAGTAACTGCCTGCCACGGTGGACAGGGCAAGCCATAGGAACTTTCCATTATCACATAAGGTTCTGCCAGGCAGCAGGAATAAGATTTCCCGGGGCAAGAGGATATCACAAAAAGTAGCAGAGAAAGGGAGTCCAGAACTCACCAATGGTTTTTTTAGAGGTGGTTTTTTTTTTTTTGGCTTATTTTTGGGCTACACCCAGCATTACTCAGGACTCATTCTGGCTTGTACTCAGGGATCACTCCTGGTGGGCTCAGAAACAATAAGGGGTGCTGGGGGTTGACCCCAGGTCAGCAGAATGCACAGCAAGCACCTTCCCCACCAACGCTAAAGGGGAGGAGGAGGAGGAGGAGGAGGAGGAGGAGGAGGAGGAGGAAAAGGAAGAGGAGGAGGAGGAGGAGGAGGAGAGAAGGAGGAGGAGGAGGAGGAGGAGGAGGGTATTTCCCAGATCAGGGCTGAATGGTGCCCAGGGTCTGGGTAGCAGTATGGAGATGTTTCCCCCTGAGTGCTTTAGCCCCTTGTGGGATCCAGGGATGAAGTTGGAAGTGGCTGAAAACCTGGGTTTAGCGGCATCAGCAAATGCCCTGCAGCCTTGCCCCCGGAACCGAAGCCACCAGGCTGGTCCCGGGTACCGTTATCAGGAACAGTCTGACCCCAGCCGCCGTGTCTGCAGTGAGAGGTCAGAGGCTGAGGAACAAACACCCCTTGTTCCGGCTCAGGTCAGGTGCGGCGGCTGGTGGTGGATTGGCTGTGGTTTCTTGGCCATAAGGAAGTGCCCCCACTGGCTACATCCGGGGTCTAAACGATAGGGAACAGGATGCCATGTGCGTCATGCTGCTGAGACCCCCCAGACTCTGTGAGAAGGAAGGGGTGTCAGGGATGACATATGCAGAATATTGAGATCCCGCACCGCCATTTCTGGGGGTGCTGGCCATTGAGAGGGATGCCAGGATTCGAGGGGGGACACTTTCTCTCTGGACTCAGCCAAGGGTGATGTTAAGACTTAGAGGAGATTAATTGGGGCCGGAGCAATAGTAGAGTGGAGAGGGCGCTTGCCTTGCACATGGCTGACTTGGGTTCGATCCCCAGCATGCCATATGGTCCCCCAAGCCCATCAGGAGTCATTCCTGAGCACAGAGCAAAGAGTAACCCCTGAGCATCACTGGTGTGACCCCAGGATTTAAAATAAAGAACAAAAACAAGACAGAGGAGATGGAGGAGCAGACATCCCCCCCACCCCTGCTTGCTCTCATTTTTTTCTCCCCACCCCTACCCAACCCCTTCCTCCTGTTTCTCTGCACATGTGATTCCAAGAGAAGTTTTTGCCACCTTCATTTTGTTTTTTTTTTGTTTATTTGTTTTGGGCCACACCCAGTGGTACTCAGGGCTTACTTGTGACTCTACATTCAGAAATCACTCCTGGTAGGGCTCAGAGGGCCCCATGGGGTGCTGGAGAAGGAATCAGACAGGCTGGGAGGAGGGAGGCAGGCACCCTCCCCCTGTACTATCTCTAGGCCCCAGGATTCAGCAGTTGCTTTGTCTGAGGCCCCTGGGCTCCTCCTCCTCCCCACACTCACCCTCAGGGACCATTCCCCAACCCTCCCCTCGAAGCTCCCTCCCCTCGGGTGGGCAGGCCGCACCCCTCCACAGTGGGGCACTTCAGGGTTTCCATCTTGTCTATTGACTCACTCCCTTTCCTGATTGAGCCTTTATGGCTCCCCAGGATTCCTATCCTGGGTGGGGGTGTCTGAGACCTCACCTGCACAGGCCTTGGCGATAACAGGGGAGGAACCCAGGGGGCAGCAGTTGCTGGGGTGTTGTCCAAGGGGACACCCAGGCTTCGCAGCTGCTGTTCTTCGGAGTCACTCCCCAGCAAACATGGGGCTCAAGCAGGAGCCCCAAATCTCACTGCTCCGAGGCCAGCTCTCAGGGGCTCCCTGCCCTGCAACCCAGACGCCATCTCCCAGGCAGGTGGTTTGTGGGGGAATGGGGGAGCACAAAGTCTCTTCTCAGAACCAGGGGTAATGGAAAAAAAAAAAAAAGAAAGAGAGGCCCTAAGAAAACCAAACCCTCCCAGAAAGCAAATAATTCTCCAGGAAATGAAACCTTGACCTCTGATGGCAAAGCTTAGAGTACCATGTGGTGGGGGCCAGGAGAATGTCACAGAGATAGCCCTGGAGGGTCTGGGACGCTTTGGTGGTTGGGGGTGTGGTCACTCTGTCCTATTGAGATCATTAAACAATCTCAGAATCCAACGGAAAATTCAATTAAGAACAAAATTCTCCAGGAAACGGAAGCTGTGTCTGTGTGGAACCAGGAAGTTGAGGCTTCTTCCTCACACGAAGGCACCACCAATCCTTACCCTGGGAGGGCCTGCCTGCCCCCATGCTCCTGGGCATGCACAGTCCCCCACTCCATGGCCACTGCTGCCCACTGCCACCCCTTTCCCCGGGGAGGGCCTGCCTGCCTCCATGCTCCTGGGCACGCACAGTCCCCCACTCCATGGCCACTGCCGCCCACTGCCACCCCTTTCCCCCAGGAGGGCCTGCCTCCCACTATGCTTCTGGACATGGACAGCCCCAGAACCAGTACCCAGCCCCCCCACACACACCTTTTGCAGGAGAGGTCCCTAGGAAGCCCTGGCTGGGGGACAAGCCCATGTGTCCCAGTACTAAAAACAGGATGCGAGGGCAGGGAGACAACCCGGGGGGTGCTGGGGAGACGCCAGGACCCGGATATGGGTCCTTCGCCTTGATCCTTGGCAGGAGTCAAAGGAAAAAAATTGGACCAACAAAGAACAACACGTGCCACCTTCCGCCTGCTCCTGCCCCCTGCCCCACCCCTGGAGACCCAGACCCTTAGCCCCTACTCCCAGACACTTCCCTCGCATGCCCACTGCCCAGCCAGCTCCCTGAGCCCACACCCCAGTTGTGCTCGTGGGCCCCCCAGGACTCAGGGGGCCCTCAGTTAGCCTCCCCACTCCGAAGGCCTTCCCCTGGCGGCAACAGCGCCTCCTCCAGGAAGTTGGCACCATCTTCCTGGCATGTGACCCAGGGTGTGGCCCAAGAAGCTGGGACACCCCCATATATAGGCCCGTGCAGAGGCCAGTGCTGTAGCTCCGGGGACCTGCAGGTGAGAAAGGCCCTTGGGAAGTGGAGACCAAGTCTCCTGCTCCCCACTTGCCCTGCTCGCCCCAGACCAATGGGACCTGCCACACACTCACACATGCAGCCCTGGGTGCTGCCACCCTTGGTGTCCCGGGTACCCAGCGGTGGGGACCCCTGTCCCTCCTGCCTTCTCTGACACCCCCTTTCTCCACTGCAGACATGGGTTCCCTGTGGAGCTGGTGGACGCTGTGGGCCGGAGTCGCCCTCCTATGGGGTAAGTTAGACCAACACCCACTCCCCATCTGCTCCAGCTCGGGGACTCTGACTGCCCAGGGTGCCCCTCTAGAGACCATCCCCTAGGGTCCCCTCAGGCTGGCTGAGAGCATAGCGAGGTCCCCGAGGTTCTGCAGAGAGACCTGATGGAAATCGCCCCTATTCTCTCCCTCGGTTCTAGAAGGACGCAGGTGAAAATTTGAGCCCCCGAGTTAAAGTCGGCCCAATTTCTTGGTTTGCTGCAAACCCACACAGGTTTGCACTGGGGACATTGGCCCCTGAAGTCATTGGTGGAAAGGCCTGGCACCCCACAGGGTCCTTTGTAAGATTCATGATTCAGGAAGTAAGAGAAACTGGGGACCCCAGGCCCTCTAGCTACCAAACAACATCGCTTCAAGCTACTTTGAAATGTCACTGCCCTGGACCTTCTGCCTCAGGACACGGGAATGTCCTTCAAGATTCCCCTCACTTGACAATCCCCCACTATAACCCCCACACTCCATTCGTGACCCCCCCAGACTTCCCCTTCTTCCCCCTCTTCCTAGTTAGGGATGTGGAAAGTTCCCTTTCTTTTCATTTTTTGGGGAGATTTTTGGCCACACCTACGGTGCTCAGAGGTTACTCCAGGCTCTACTCAGAAATTATTCCTGCTGATGCTTGGGGGAAACCATATGGGATGCTGAGGATCGAACCCAGGTTGGCTGCATGCAAGACAAGTGCTTTCCCCACTGTACTATCACTCTAGCTCCCACTTTTCTACTTCTAAGAGATGTAGTGTCTACACTCCTATTATCCCCTTCACTCCCTTCCCATACCCCCCAAGTCCTCCTAGAGACAGAAACTCACAAATGGGTGCCTGAATCCTGCCCACTGTCAGGGAGGGGGCCGCTATGTTTTAAACAAGCCTGGGTTGGAGAATTCACCCAGAAATTCGGACATCAGGTTCTCTAGAAAAAATGGTAAGTGCTGGCATTAAAAAACAAAAATAAAGTACCCGTAAGCCATCATCACAACAGACCAAAGTACGGAGCTACACCCCATTTTAGATGCTGCAGTTGGCACCCCCACCCCCCAGCTGTCTCCAACATTGACCTGGGCGACATGATCCTGTCAGCACTGAGCTCCAGAGCCCTGTCCAAGAGCTTCCTGGGGTTTGCAGTTTGCCCTGCTTGTGTGAGGCCCTGAGTTCAGTTCCCAGCACTGCAAAAACCCAAGTGGATAATTATGGGAAATGAAAGCCAGAAAGCCAGGTGCAAGGCACCTGAATAAGGAGGAAGAGAGAGGAAGAGAGGAAGAGAGGCGGGGCAGAAAAAAAAAAACCAGTTAAAACACGGATATTTGGGGACCCAAGAGATAATACCGAGTAGGGCACTTGTCTGGCAAGCAGATGACTGGGTTCGAACCCAGTTGGACCATCCCGTATAGTCACCCTCTGAGCACCGCCAGGAGTAATTCCTGAGTGCAGATTTGGGAATAACCCCTGAGTGTTGCTGGATGTGGCCCCAAAATAAACAAAAAAGACACAGATGTTTCACTGGGGGTCTCCCAAGCAGTGCTCAGGGGAGCAGGCATCATTCCTGGCAATCCTCAGCCAACCCAATGGACAGTTCAGTGCTCAGGTCCGATTGTAATGGGGCCACTGAGATATCTCCCCAGCTCCCCAATATCGTATTTCTACATCTAATCCAGGCACAGGGTGGGGGAAAGAGAAAACCAATGACTGCATTTCTCCCCACCCCAGGGTCAACCCAGCAGGCCGCTGTGAACCACAAGAATGCCAGGGGACAGGAATTCCTCGCGGCCTTCCTGCAGAACTACGAACTCGGCTATAGTCAGGCCAGCCTCCATCTGTTCCTTACCAGTATGTCAGACCAACCGGCCTTCGTGTCTGTCCTCAGTCAGGCTGACGACACCTTGCAGAATGTCACCGTGGGCCCCGGGCAGTCGGTCATGGTCAACATCAGCAGCCAGGCCGAGATGACGAGCAGTGCCACCTTCCAGAGTGCGGTGGTGGTCCGCTCAGACCATCCCATCTCCGTGCAGGCCGTCAGCGTGAAGCCCAAGACGGCCGAGCTGACGCTGCTGCGGCCAGTCAGTGAGCTGGGCACTGAGTACTTCGTGCTCACGCCATCCAGCTCATCGGCCAAATTTGTCAAGGAGTTTGCAGTGGTGGCAGGGTACGCGGGGGCCGACATCCATGTGCAGCTGAAGGGATCCGTCACGTTCCAGGGTAAGTTCTATCCAACTGGTAAGGTCCTGAGCATCACTCTGCAGCCCTATCAGGTGGCCCAGATCCAGAGCGACATGGACCTCTCAGGGTCAAAGGTCACGTCCAGCAGCCCTGTGGCTGTCTTCTCCGGCCACAGCTGCGCCCAGAAGCACACGAGCTGTAACCACGTCATGGAGCAGCTGCTCCCCACGTCGGCCTGGGGCACCCAGTATGTGGTGGCCACCTTGGCCTCGCAGACCCGCTACGATCTGGCCTACGTGCTGGCCAGCCAGCCCACGAAGCTGACCTATAACCAGGGGGGCACTGTTGGCTCCCGTGGGCTCCAGGAAGGTGACGTGGTTGAGTTTGAGATCCAGCCCTCTCGGCCCCTCTACCTGACGGCGGACGTGGGCATCCAGGTCCTGGCATTCGGCACCGGAGCTACCAGGAACAACGTGACCTATGACCCATACCTGGCCGTAGTGCCAGACGTGGCTTCCTACTGTGATTCCTACGTGGTCAAGACCATGCCAGGCTCCCAGAGTGTGGCCCTGGTAGTGGTGCCCCAGAAGGCTGTGAACCAGCTGACCGTGGACGGCCATGTGCTTGGAGCCAACCTCAACTGGGTCCCAGTAGCAGGCAGTGATTTCTCCTTCACCGAAGTGGACCTGGGCACAGAGGACAGGACCCATCTGGCTGAGGCCCCCGCCCGCTTCGGGCTGCTTACCTTCGGGCTGGAGCAGGCTGTGGGCTTCGGGACCGCCGGTGCCTGCAGCTCTAGTGAGTAATGAGACAGGACCCTCTGTCCCCGTCCACCTAGCTGTCACCTCAGCTTCCCTCCCTCTGTCCTCAGTGGTCTCCATTAAGTTAGAAGAGGCCTAACCTCTCTCCCCCAGATACGCCCCCCTCCTTTCTCCTCGACCTTCCCGTCCTCCCCCCACCTCAGCCCCTCAAATAATCCCCAATCTCAGAAGCAGAGGTTTAGAATCCCTCCCCCACTTCTCTCTGCCTTTTGTTGCTTCGTGGGTCCTAAGAGAGAGCCAGGGAGCCAAAGGGCAGGCTTTGGGGTCGGGAATCATTTTGGAAATGGTTTATCTGTTTGGGGGTCACACACAGTGGTGCTCAGAGGCTTCAGGCATGCCAAGTCTGCACTCCCCTGTGGGGATATCTCTCTGGAAATCTCTTCCCCCTGGAAATAGCTTTTTGTATCTATTTTGGTCTGGGGCCACACCTGGTGATGCTCAGGACGTACTCTTAACTCTGAGCTCAGTGATCACTCCTGGCAGTGCTCGGGGGATCATATGGGATGTTAGGAATTGAACCCGGGTCAGTGGTATGCAGGGCAAGCCCCTGAACTGCTGTATTATCTCTGGCCCCACACTTGGGAAGTTGAGGGCACCCCCTTTCAAGGGTTGTTAAGGGAGGAGGTTTTAGCCCCTTGGTGACTCCTGTGATTTAACACTAGGGAGCGCTGTGATAAGAGGCAGGAGCAAGGAGGAAATGGTGGTTCTTCCTCCCATGACACTCTGTGTCCCAAGCTAAGACTAGATACTAGGGCTGCTAGAGTGGGCCAAAAGAAAAAGAAAATAAAAGCTCCGCACTTGCAGAGCAGGAAAGCCCCCCAACCTCAAAGGATCCTTGGGATCCAAATAGCAGAACGGGGAAGAGCAGGCTATGGCTGTCACTGTTACCAGCCAGGACAACCCCCCAAGAAGGCCTTGACTGTCCCCACCCTCACCATACAGGCGAGACACTAAGGTACAGGAACTTTGAAACACTGGTCAGTGTCACACACTGGATATGCCATGAAGCAAACCCGGGTGGCAGACTGGAGCTCATCCACTTCCTGTCTCTGTCTCCTCTTTTCTGTCCTTCCAAAAAGGACCCAAAAGGGGGCTGGGCCAACAGGACAGGGGCGAGGGCACTTGCTTTGCCCAAGGTTGCCCCCCAGGTCTACCCCAGGCACCACAGAGGATCCCTGAGCACCGCCAGGAGTGATCCCTGAACAGAGTCAGGAGTAAGCCCCAAGCACCACCAGGTGTGTCCCAAAAACCCACCAAACAAACAGACAGACAAACAACAACAACAACAGAAAAAAGGCTGAGATTGGGAAGGCTGGCTGTGAGAGGGGAAGAGGGGGTGAGGGGAGAAGAGGGGGTGAAACCCTGTAAGTGAGCAGTGAGCAACTCCGTGTCCTGTCAATCCTTGTCACCTCCTTACAGTTCTTGAGAGCTGAGCTATAGTTAACCCTCCCCTTCCCCCACCTGCAATCCAGGGGGCTCCCCAACTGCCCCGGGGATTCCCGGCTCTGCACCTCCTGACTCTCCTCCCCCCTTCTCTCCTCCCCAGCCTCGCTCTCCCCAGGAGTAGCCTCCTGTGAAAACCACAAGTGCCCTTCGGGAGAGCACTGCGAGGTGGTCGACGGTAAAGCCCACTGTGTGGCAGACCTGAAGGTCACCTGCTACGTCCAGGGGGACCCTCATTACACCACCTTCGACGGGCGCCGCTACGACATGATGGGCACATGCACCTACACCATCTCTGAGCTGTGCAGCGATGAGGGCGACCTGCCCGCCTTCAGCGTGGAGGCCAAGAACGAGCACCGCAGCAGCCGCCTCGTGTCCTACGTCGGCTACGTCACCGTGCGTGCCTACGGGCACTCGGTGTCGCTGGCCCGCGGGGAGGTCGGCCTCGCAAGGGTGAGGCTCCCCCCTCAGACGGGGTTTCCGGCCACGGAAGTGCAGGGGTGCAGGGGGCGGAGCCGTGGTCGGGCCACAGGCATGGGGGGTTGGGGAGGAGGGACCTGAGAATCAAACCCTACTTTTAGAAATCTTTGAGGATGCCCAGAGGAAAGACTTAGAAACGAGAAGTTTTTGCCAATGAAGATTCTGGGGGAGGGAGTGACTTCAATCTTGTGTTGGGGGGGTCACCCGGGAGGGTATTGGGCTGAGGTATTCCAGGGCTATACCTGGCAGTGTTCTGGGGACCATCTGGCACTGGGGATAGAACTTTGGTACCCAGCATGCAAGAGGTTTAACCCTGAACTGTCTCTTTGAATCCCACACCCCAGAAGCCACACCTCTGATTAATTAATATATTTATTCTGACTTTGGGGCCATACCTGGCAGTGCTCTGGGATCACTCCTGGTGATACTCAGAGCACAGTACCCCGAGGTATATGGGACGCCGAGGATCTAACCCAGGTTGGTCACATGCAAGGCAAATGTCCTGCCCGCTGTTCTGTCGCACCAGCCCCTGATTTATTTTTGTTGTTGTTTCATTTGGGGTTTACACTCACCGGTGCTTAGGGCTTAGTCCTAGCTCTGTACTCAGGGATCACTCATGGCAGGCTCAGAGAACCCTATGTGGTGCTGAGGATCAAACCCAGGTGAGACATATACGAGGCAGATGCCCTCCCCGCTGTCCTATCAATCCAGCCTACACTCTGATTTTTAATGCACTGCACTGTCTTCCCGCTGTTCATCGATTTACTCGAGCAGGCCCAGTAACATCTCCATTGTGAGACTTGTTACTCTATTTGGCATAACACATATATCACGGGTGGCTTGTCAGGCTTTACTGTTGGGGCAAAATACTCTCGGTAGCTTGCCAGGCTCTCCGAGAGGGCTGGAGGAATCAAACTCTGGTCGACCAGGTTGGCCGCGTGCAAGGCAAACGCCCTACCCGCTGTGCTAAAAGCAAAGCAGGTCAGGGAACGTCACTCAGCAGCAGAGGTCTTACTTGGCAAGTGTGTCCCTGATCCCCAACAGTGCAAAGAAAGAGAAAGGAAAATGCCAAATGCAAGGGTCAGGGTTGTGTGCTTCTTTTTACAACTGAAATAATCATAGTCAATGGGGGTGAGGGATTCTTTTTTGTTCTTTGCTGTTTTGGGTTTTTATTGCTTGTTTCTGGGCCACATCTGGCAGTGCTCAGGGCTTACTCCTGGCTCTATGCTCAGGGATCACTCCCGACAGGCTTAGGAGACCAGATAAGGTGCCGAACCCAGGTTGGCTGTATGCAAGGCCAGTTCCCTACTGTACTCTCGCTCTGACACCTTTTTTTTTTTTTGTTAAAAGAAGGTGATGAAATGCTGAGGAAATGCTAAAAACCAGATCTGGTACCTCATAGGTTCTCATTCAAGTCAGGCTTTGCTCACTGAAGAAATCCCCCATGATTAACATGATTAATAGTCCCCCAAAAAAGGTTGGGCTTTTGGGGGCCAGAGAGATACACAACAGGTGGACATTTGCCTTGCATGTGGCCAACCTGGGTTTGGTCCCAAGCATCCCATATACCCCCTCCACTCCGAACACTGCCAGGAGTAATTCCTGGGTGCAGAACTGATAGTAACCCCTGAGCATCGCCAAGTGTGACCCCCAAAACCAAAAGCAAATTGTTGAACTTTTTCCCCACCTTCTTCTTTTTCTTTGTGTGTAAGAGGCAAGAGGGTGAGCCTGAGGACTTGCCCGAAAGGCTGCTTTCATCCCCTGGGAATGGCCAGAGCAGAGGCTCGGGCTTAGAGGGAGGCAGGGGTGGTGGGGTGGGAAAGCAGGGGGAGCAGCTGCAGGCCCCGCCACCAGGCTCTGAGCCCTGTGTCCCTGCTACCCCCCAATAGATCGACAACCAGCGCTCTCGGCTGCCTGTCTCGCTGGACAACGGTCGCATGCATGTGTACCAGAGCGGCCGCCAGGGCATTGTGGAGCTGAGCTTTGGGCTGGTGGTCACCTACGACTGGGACTGCCAGCTGACTGTGACCCTGCCCGCCGCCTTCCGGGACAAAGTATGCGGCCTCTGTGGCAACTACAACGGCAACCCCAAGGATGACTTCCTCACACCCGACTTGGAGCAGGCGTCCAACCCTGTGGAACTGGCCAGCAGCTGGAGGCTCGATGATGGAGACTTCTTGTGTGATGATGGCTGTGAGAACGACTGCCCATCTTGCACCCCGGGCCAGGCCCAGCACTACGAGGGTGACCGGCTCTGCGGGATGCTGACCAAGAAGAAGGGTCCCTTTGCCGCCTGCCATTCTGCCCTGGACCCCGAGTCCTTCCTCAAAGATTGTGTCTATGACCTCTGTGTGGTGGACGGTGACCGGCCCAGCCTCTGTCGCAGCCTCAGCGCCTATGCCCAGGCCTGTCTGGAGAAGGGCATCGTCGTTGGTGACTGGAGGGGACCGGCCAACTGCCGTGAGTGATGTCCCAAAAGAGGGAGTGGGAGGTCTGGGAGCACTTTGTGAGAGTTTCGGCAGGAGAGGAGCACAGCTGTGCAATGGCCATGCTTCCAAGGACCCAGAGATGGCCAAGATGGCTAGGCTTTGCAGAGGTCAGGGCCAGGATGGAGGAAGTTCATGGTGGCTAGGGAAGACCAGAGAAGCTCCCTAACTGAGCCTGAGGGCCCAGGGAGAGGGGATGGTGCTGGGAGAATGGCATGGTCCCATCAGAAACCTGTAAGGGCTGGGAATGAGCCAGAATTGAAGGAAGCCAGACACAGGGGTCTGGGTTAAGTTAAAGTGCATGCGCAAAGGCTGGACCTGAGAGACAGTTTGTTGCATCCCAAGATCAATGTGGGATCACATCACGTTTCACCCGTATTCACCCCAGTGCCCTCTGGACCCCAGGCTGTGTGACCAAGAATTCACGCACTCCATTGTTCCTTGAACAAGCACTCCCTGAGCCCCTTAAGGGTCCCATTCTAGGGCTGGTTATGGGCATCGGGAATTGAGGCTAATGTACACCTGTCTGCACCCTTGGAAGGTGCCCAGAGCAATGTCCATCCAGCACCAAGAGGTGCAGGGCAGAGGAGGGGGCAGCCTGGTCCAGACCCAGAGATTCCGAGAGGGAGTAAGTCTTGGGGGTAGACCATTTGTAGGTAATCTTGGTCATGGCTGTATCCCTCACTGTGCCCAGAACAGCCCCCTGTTCCCCCAGAAAAGAGAAAGTGAGTTCATTCAGTCAAAAGATCAATTTTCCCCTCGGACTGACCTCTGTCCGTGGTTCTGAAACCCAGCAGAGCTGGTCAGCTCTGAAATGAAGACCCATGGGTGATTTCAGAGAGTGAAGGAAGCAACACTGATGTCATGAGTCGGGTGAGCCAGGAGGAGCGTCTCAAGGGCTGCTCCTGGCAGAGACCAGGATGAGGGGCTGGAGTCTGTGAACTCATTCACTCTTCACAACTACCCTGGGAGGTTGCTAGTACAACCATTCTCTGTCACTGGTGGGGAAACTGAGACACAAAGTCGGGGAGGAGATCATTTTACTTATGACCACACAGCTAGGAAAGAGAGAGTTGGTATATAACACTGAGTCATCTGGACTCCAGGGGCCAGTGGCACTGGCCTTTGAAAAAGAAAATGATCTGTGCAAATGTCCTGAGGCAGCAGTGTGAACAACCCCCGCCCCCCAATCCCAAGGAGGCAGTGGGGGCTAGGGCGGAGGGAGCCAGAGGGAGGAGAGAGGAGGTTGGGGTGAGACAGACAGCATGGAGGTTGACAGACCAAAGGGATGACTCCAGCCTCCACACGCAATGAGATGAAGCTCATTGGGACTTCAAGCAGGAGACAGTGCCTGACTCTGGGTCCCCGTAGCTGCATGTGAAGAGCAGATGTTGGGGGCCTGAGATATAGTACAATGAGTAGGGCACTTGCCTTGCACGCGGCCCATGCTGGTTGATCTCCGGCTTCCTATATGGTCCCCTGAGGCCTGCCAAGAGTGATCCTTTAGCACAGAGCAAGAGTAAGCCCTGAGGACCACTGGGTGTGGCCCCCAAACAAAACAAAACAACAATAAAATGCGGAAGTCACAGACTTTACCTGATATCTGAAGAATGTTATTGAACAGGTCAGTGACTGAGTTTGGCGCCTGGACACCCCAAAGGGTGGAAGAGCATTTACTTAGATGGAGGGACCTGTGAGACGTGGGACAGGGAATCCTGGAAGTGCCCTTGCTCCCCTGCACCCCCTGGGCCCAGGCTCACGCGCCCTCCTTCTCTGTCTCCCTGCAGCTCTGTGCTGTCCCCCCAACAGCCAGTACGACCCCTGTGGCCCTGCCTGCCAGGCCTCCTGCAACCCTGCGGCCATGCCCTCCAACTGCTCGGCGCTCCCTTGTGTCGAGGGCTGCGTGTGCCTCCCCGGATTCGTGGCCAGCGGCGACGCCTGTGTGCCAGCCTCTTCCTGTGGTTGCATCTTCCAGGGCCTCCTGCTGGCCCCTGGCCAGGAGGTGTGGGCAGACCAGCGGTGCCGTCGCCGCTGCGTCTGTGATGGCACCACCCACCAGATGCGCTGCAGCGACACCCAGGGCTGCCCGGAGGGAGAGCAGTGCCTCGTCCAGAACGGCATCCTGGGTTGCTACCCCGACAGCTTCGGGACCTGCCAGGCCATTGGAGACCCGCACTACTACACCTTCGACGGCCGGCGCTTGAACTTCATGGGCACCTGCACGTACCTGCTGACCGGCTCGTGTGGCCAGGCTGCTGGGCTGACCTCCTTCCGCGTGCTGGTGGAGAATGAACATCGTGGCAGCCAGACCGTGAGCTACACGAAAGCCGTGCGTGTGGAGACCCTGGGCGTGACTGTGGAGATACGTCGGGAGCACCGTGGCCAAGTGCTGGTGAGTGATGTAGCCCTGGGCCTGGGTGGAGGAAGGCGGGAGCCCCCTCCCCCGCAGAGAGTGATGGCTCTGGGGGGCTGGAGAGCACGCATAGAGTAGAGGGGTGAAGGCCTTGGTCTCTGCAGACCCTCACCCCCCTGAACCCAGTGTAGTCCCTGGAGCCCCACCAGGAATGATCTCAGAGCACAGAGCCAAGAGAAAGCCACTGGGTGTGACCCAAAACACACAGAAAAAAGAACCAGTCCCTATCATTGTGATGCCCAAGTACAGCAAGAGTGACTCTGGTGGTACTCAGGGTCAGGCAAACATTGAACCAAAGGTCCAGTTGGCTAAGTATGGCAGAAAACCATACTGGGCCAGGTGGGGCTGGGGCTGGTTATCCTAATGGTTAGAGTCACCCTATCTACCCACCCACCCCCACTCCCCGAGAGGCTGAGCTGCCTTTCACTGACAGGTTCCATTGGAGAGGCTCGTTAGGGAACTGGAGGGAGATGAGATGAGATGAGATGAGATGAGATGAGATGAGATGAGATGAGGGAGTGGGCCAGGCCTGTTGGGGGGATGGTTCCGTTTGAAGCTGACGCCTAAGGATGTGAAGGCAGCAATAAGCAAAGCGCTGGGTGAGGAGGCTGGAGGGGATGGGATGGGCAAGGGCAGAGCAGTGCCCAAGCCCTTGAGCCAGGCTGGGCTTGGGGAGTCAAGGAAATGGCACAAGCATGCAGTCTTGGGGAATTAAATGGGTGAGTAGTGGGGTCAGGATCATCAAGGGCTCCCTGTGGTGTTGGATCAAAGGGACATGAAGTGGAAGGAGAGGTGGCAGGTGAAGAGCTCTAGGGGGTGTTTTGGAAAGGGGGACAAGGCAAGGACAAAGACCATCCTGAACCCTGGGAGTGAGTGGAACGGCTGAGCGTTGGGGTGGCGGGGGTGTGGACATAGGGCAGAGCTCTGGGGAAGCAGGTTCTCCAGGGAAAGGAATGGGGTTTAAGCCCCAGCCTGGAGGAGAGGGAAAGCCGCTGGGAGCAAAGAGGACCATGACATTGTTGGCAAAAGGAAAGGACCCTGAGGCTGGCCCAGGGAACAAGAAAGCCAGGGCAATGAGCTGAAGTGACAGTTCAGTGGGGAGGACTATTGCCTTGCACGCTGTTGACCTGGGTTCTCAGGTTTGATCCCCAGCATCCCCTATGGTTCTCTAAGCACCACCAAGAGTGATTCTTGAGTACTGAGCCAGGAGTAACTCCTGAGCATCACTGGGTATGGCCTTAAAACAAATAAAACCAGTGTGGCTGGCCCAGAAGGGCCCTGGGCAGAGAGGCCAGGTGAGAGAGCCTGGAAAACAGAGGCATCTGGATTTAAACTGACATTTGAAAGATGGATGTGGGGTAGGGCACCAGGCAGAGGGAACAGCATGTGCAAAGGCTCTGAGGCAGGACCAAGTCTCAGGGATACAAAAGAACATCCTGACCCGTTGGTCCTCCTGCCTCTCTCTCCAGGTGGATGGCGTCCTTTACTACCCACCCTACCAGGCAGCTGGTGGGAAGATACATATTTACCGCCAAGGGGCAGATGCCGTGGTGCGCACAGAGTTTGGCCTGACAGTCAGCTACAACTGGAACGCCCAGGTGATCGTCAAGGTGCCAAGCAGCTATGCTGGGGCCCTGTGTGGGCTCTGCGGGAACTTCGATGGGGACGCAAGTAACGAGCTGACCCTGCGAGGTGGTGGCCAGACCACCAGTGTTCTGGAGTTTGGAAACAGTTGGCAGGAAGAGGCCACGCCAGGCTGCAATGCAACTGAGCCCGGTGACTGTCCCAACCTGGAGAGCCTGGTGACTGAGCAGCTGAAGAACAAGACGAAGTGTGGGATCATTGCCGACCCTGACGGGCCCTTCCAGCAGTGCCACTCGGTCCTGGAGCCCCATGATGCTGTGTATGACTGCGTCTATGACCACTGCCTGATGCCAGGAGAGTCTGGGTTGTGTGATGCCTTGGCTGCTTATACTGCTGCGTGTCAGGCTGCTGGAATCACTGTGTACCCCTGGAGGAACAAGACATTTTGCCGTGAGTATTGGGAGGGACCACTGAGGGCTTCAACCTTGTCCCTGATTCATGAACCTATAAATACCATGGAACTGAATTCTTGTAATAGTCATAGAAGGTCACAACTATGCTTATACCTGTTTTCAGATGAATAAACTGAGACTTATAAAGTTTCTGAGGAGAGGGAGCCATAGTGACCCAGGTTTGATCCCATATGGTCCCCTGAGCCCCACCAGGAGTGATCCCAGAGTGCAGAGCCAGAAGCAAGCTCTGAGCACCGCTAGGTGTGGTCTCCAAAAAAAAGCAAAACAAAGAGAAAAGATTCTGAGGAGCAACAGAAAAGCCATAAACAAACCACTGGTCTGTGCTGGAACTTACCACCCTTCCCCCAGTCTCCAGGACTCAGGAACTCCCTACAGCTGAAAAGGTTCTTTTTGAGGGAGTCAGGCGCCTCTGGGAGTGTGATTTCTGACTCCTGATGGCCTGTTTCCATGCAGCGATGCAGTGCCCGCCTCACAGCCACTATGAGCTGTGCTCCATGGGTTGCCCAATGTCCTGCGGTGACCTGCCGGTGCCAGGGGGCTGCGGCCAGGACTGCCACGAGGCTTGCGTGTGCGACGAGGGCTTCGTGCTGAGCGGCGACATCTGCGTGCCCCGTAACAACTGTGGCTGCGCCTACCAGGGCGCCTACTACCCGCTGGGCCAAACCTTCTACCCCGGCCCCGACTGCAGCTCCCTGTGCCACTGCCAGCAGGATGGCGTGGTGTCCTGCCAGGCCGCTGGCTGCGGCCCGCACGAGGCCTGCCGACCCAGCAACGGTACGCTGGGCTGCGTGTCAGTGGGGTCGGTCACCTGCGAGGCGTCGGGAGACCCCCACTACACCACCTTCGACGGCCGCCGCTTCGACTTCATGGGCGCCTGCCTGTACGTACTCGCTAGCACATGCAGGAGCCGGCCCGGCCTGCCCCAGGCCCCCAGCCTGCCCCAGTTCACAGTCCTGCAGGAAAACGTGCACTGGAACGGGGACCGCGTGAGCGTGACCAAGGCCATCACCGTGATAGTGGGGAACTACACCCTGCGGCTGGAACAGAATCTGTGGAAGGTCACGGTGAGCACCAGGGTCATGAGGCAGGGCCCCTCCAGTGAGGGGCAAGGCTTCAGGGTAATGGGCAGGGCCTCTGGTGCGAGGGGCGGGGCCATCAGAGCCAGGATCAGGGGCAGGCCCAAGTCCATGCCTGAACCAGTGGCAGGAGGGTGAGGCCTGATGTCCCGAGGAGCCAAGGTTGTCTTAGCTCAGAGGCATGGAGGTGGGAGGGAACCTTGGACCTGCACTGGTGGTGCATTGTCTCCCTGAGCCCGTTCCTTGACTAGCCCCTTTGGTCTCCCCCACCCTTCACTTCATCCTCCAGGCCTAGTGGGGTCTGGCACCACGTAATCCCCCGAGCACTGCAGGCAGTGAACCTCCTCCATAGCATAGCCTCAGGTGTGCTGCCCTGCAAAGAAGAAGGAACACAAGGTGATATTCTGCAGTCCTAGGGGCGCATATCATTTGGGGGCCACCACTCAAACACCAGAAGACCCTGTTATTGGGGCCGGAGTGATAGTAGAGCGGGTAGGTTGCTTCCCTAGCACATGCCCAGCCCGGTTTGTTCCCCATGTGATCCCCTGAGCACCACATATGGTCCCCTGAGCCGCACCAGGAGTGATCCCTGAGTGCAGAGCTAGGAGTTCTCCTGGAGCACCGCTGGATGTGGCCCCCCAAACATACAAAATAAAACAGAACCACTAAAAACCTTGTTATTACGCCATCTAACAAATATGAAAATTAAGGCTCTGTGAGGTGAGGTTCCCCACATGGTCAGCGTCAGGCAGGAGCTGGGCCTCGAGTCTGCGCGCTCCCAAGGCACCCTCTGAAGCTTGGCTTCTCCCTGCCCAGGTGAACGGCGTGGACATGAATCTGCCGGTGGTGCTGAACAACGGCGAAATCCGTGTCTCCCAGCACGGCTCAGACGTGGCGATCGAGACCAACTTCGGCCTGCGCGTGACCTACGACCTCAAGTACTATGTGCGGGTCACGGTCCCGGGCAGCTACTACCAACAGCTGTGCGGCTTGTGTGGAGACTACAACGGCGACCCCAAGGATGATTTCCAGAAGCCCGATGGCTCCCAGGCCAGCAACCCCAACGACTTCGGCAACTCCTGGGAGGAGAAGGTGCCTGGCTCGCCATGCCTGCCGGCGCCCCCCACCACCTGCCAGCCCGGTGGGGACTGCGGGGAAGGTGCGGTGTGCACGCCCGAGCAGCAGCAGCAGTTCCAGCAGGACGGTTTCTGCGGCTTCCTCACTAACCCCAACGGGCCACTGGCCGCCTGCCACTCGTTTATCGACCCTGAGGGTGCCCTGCAGGACTGCGTGTTCGACATGTGCGTGGGCAACGGGAACCAGAGCATCCTCTGCTCCACCATCCACGCCTATGTGAGTGCCTGCCAGGCCGCAGGGGGCCAGGTGAAGCCCTGGAGGAACGAGTCGTTCTGCCGTGAGTGAGGGACAGAGAAGGAGGGAAACGTGGGTGAGGGGTGGGGAGGGACCCAGCCCAAGAGCAGGGGAGGAGAGGGCAAAGGAGGAAAGGACACGCAATAAGGGCAGACCCCAGACCCTGCGCCCCCTCTGTCGCTCGGGGACTCACGTGGCCCTTCCCCTCTCTTTGCAGCCATGATCTGTCCCCCCAACAGCCACTACGAGATCTGTGCAGACACCTGCTCTCTGGGGTGCTCTGCACTCAGCGTACCCCCACATTGCCCCGACAGCTGTGCTGAGGGCTGCCAGTGTGACCCCGGCTTTCTCAACAGTGGCAACGCCTGCGTGCCCGAACAGGACTGTGGCTGCTTCCACAATGGCATCTACTATGAGGTGAGAGAGAGGGCTGGGCCCAGGATGGGGCTCTGATTTGAAGCTGGAACCTAGGAACCAGGGAAAACTGGGAGGGGCGAGGAAGCTGGTGGGGAGGGGGTGGGCAGAGGCAGAGCAGGGGCCACGGCTCCGAGGCTGGGCTGAGGAAAACACACGGGCGTGCAGTCGTTGAGAATCAGAGGGGCGCGGTGTGGGATTCAGATCATCAAGGGCCTTCAGTGGGGGTGGATTGAAAGGGACACCGGGTGGGAGAAGAGATGCGGGGAAAGGGGACCCAGAAAGAGGGTGCCGCAAGGGCAGACGCCTTGAAGTGCCTCTGGGAGTGAGTGGGGTGATGGAGATGCAGACACCGGCAGAGGCCTCCTCACCTTCTCAGCCATCCCGGAGCCATCCACAGAGTCCCCTGGGTGCCTCCCCCCTGTCTTCCATGCTCCCCAGCCCCTGCAGGTGGGAAGGGCTTTCTCACTCACCCCCAGGCTCTGCTACCCCAAACCCTCCCTTCCTCCCACATTTTGGTTCTGGATCCCAAGCCAGTTGTATCTCTGACACATCTGCTCCTCTGTGTTATCTTCGCTGTCTTTCCCTCAGCTTCCAATGCGCCCTTTCCCTTGGCTGGGGTGTGCACCACCCCTAGATTGGTCTGCCTCAAAGGAGTGGGTGCTCTGGGCAGCAGGACCCTCTAGCATAGTTCTCCAACACACAGTAGTGACAGGGGCCAAGACACAGATGGAATTCCCTCTGTGCTGGACACACACACACACACATTCTCTAAACCTTGTTATTTTCTCACCTTTAAATAACCTGGGCTTGAACTGCCTGGATCTACATAGAAACGGATGTTCAAAAACAAATACCTAAGTGGAGTGTGTTTAAGTCTTTATTCTCACCCTTACAGTTTTACAGTTAGTATTATCCCAATTTGTAAGAATGCAGTGTCTAGAGGCTAGAGTTATAGTATAATAGGTATGGCGTTTACCTTGTATGCAACCAATTTGAGATTGATCCCTGGCAGTCCATATAGTCCTCCAAGCTCACCAGGAGTGATCCCTGAGTGCACAGCAAGAAATAAGTCCAGAGCACCACCAGGTGTGGCCCCAAAACCAAAATAATAATAATAATAAATTAAAAATAAAATAGACAAAGTAAAAAATAAGGACCTGAGGGCATAGGATAGGGGATAAAGTACTGGCCTTGCATATCACCAGCCCTGATTCATTCCCAGAATGCAGATGCTTTCCTGAACACAAAATATACAGAAAATGGGGTTAGGGAGACAATACACATGCTTTGCTGGCACAGAAACTCAGTTTTGTTTCTGGCATCACCCAGCCCCCTGGAAATTGCTGGGAATAAGCGTGGCCATGTCCCGCTCAGCAGGGCCAGAATGATTTCATATATTCCATATCTTCGAGCCCCAGCATTGAACCATCAGCCCAGCTGGCCAGGAATTCCTAAGACTGGCTTCCTCTGCCACTATGCATAAAACTGGGGGAGAACCCCCAAAATTATCAAGTATGTGTTAATCAGCTTTATGCTATCAACAGGGATTCTGGTAACAGCAGGCTATTAGAAGTCAAGTTTGGGGGAGTCGAAAGCTAGTCATAGATTTAGTCTGCACAGGGAGGTAACTGGAGCGATACCACAGCAGGTAGGGTAATTGCCTTGCACATGGCCAACCCAAGTTTGATTCCTTTCCCCCTCTCAGAGAGCCTGGCAAGCTACCAAGTGTATCTCGCCCACACGGCAAAGCCTTGCAAGCTACCTGCGATGTATTATATCTATATGCCAAACATAGTAACAGCAAGTCTCACAATGTTACTGGGCCCGCTCTAGCAAATCAATGTAGAATGGAAGGACAGTGACAGTGACAGGGAGGGGGCATTGGTGCCCCTCCCTCATGCTGTTGAACACTCAGTCCTATCTGGGTCTCATAGGTGTGTGTATGTATGTGTGTGTTGCATACAGATATAAAATTTATTTTTTTTTCTTTTTGGATCACACCTGGTGATGCACAGGGGTTACTCCGGGCTCTGCACTCAGGAATTACTCCTGGCAGTGCTTGGGGGACCATATGGGATGCTGGGAAACAAACTGGGTCGGCCCTTGCAAGAAAAACGCCCTACCCGCTGTGCTATTGCTCCAGCCTCAGATGTAAACATTTTGTGACAAAAAACTTCCAACACCCAGAAGCTGTGGGTATAGTGCAATAAGTGTCCCTGGGCACATCCTTTGGCTTTAAAAATCATCACCACTTTCCCAAACCCTTCCCTCTCTCCATGCCCCTCTCTTCAGCCTGAATGACTTCAGCCTTTCCATTTCATGTTTTCTCCGTTTGACCCACTGTGCTGCCCTTTCACGGGTGGGCATGATCATAATCTGAAGCTTTCAGAGGAGGGCTCCGAGTGTAGAGAATTAAGCCATTCTGTGGCTTGGATGGGACGCAGATGGCTGTGGGCCCCAGCACTGTGCTCAGCTCCCGGCTTCCTCTTTCTCCTGGGGCACTTGCCTGGTGGATATGCTGCAGTGAACGAAAGGGCGAGAGAACGAACGAATTGGACCCCAAGGCCATGCTGTGTCTTACATTCCCAGGCAGGGAGTCACCCTGCTGAAAGCTTGTCTGCCCTGGAAGCTCAGAGAGGTCAAAATCAGTCCTCAGCCTGACATTGGTGCGCTCTGTGCCCACAGCCAAACACGACTGTGCTCCTGAACAACTGCCGGCTGCGGTGTGTGTGCCACGGTGCCAAAGCCATGGTGTGCCGCAGCCACACCTGCCTCCCGCATGAAGTGTGCGAGCCTTCAGGAGGTGTCCTGAGCTGCATCAGCAAAGGTGCAGTGCCCTGGGCCTGGCAGGGGCGGGGCCTGGAGGATCTGGGCGGGGCCCGGAAGGATCTGGGTGGAGCCTGAATCAGGGCAAGTGGGGCACTGATCTGGCAGCTGAACAAGGGTGCTACTGCCTGGTACTGGAGGCTAGAGCGATGATACAACAGATATCATTGCCTTGACCAGGGTTTAATCTCCGGCATCCCAAATGGTCCCTTGAGCACCTCCAGGAATGATTCCTGTTTGCAGTCAGGAGTAACCCTTGAGCATGCCTGGTGTGGCCAGAAAAAAACAAGACAAAAGAGTGCAGATGTTAACCCTGCTGGTGGGGTGACCAGGATCTTTGCTTGTGGTAGGCATGGGTGGTCTCAGATCCTCAAGGCTAAGGACCCCCAGGCAGAGGGGGTAGGTGGTATTCCAGAGTCAGAGGAGCCTCCAAATTTGAAGGCAGAGACCTGGGGCCAGGTCAGACACCCTCAGCCTGGAGCAGAGACAGGGAGAGCTTTCTGTCTGAAGGACCAAAGGTAAGTATAGACACTGGAACGATAGGGAGATGGCTCAGTGCGCTGGAGCTCAGGCTTTGCAGGTAGTAGGTCCAGTTACATCCCAGCACCACACGGTCTCCCCCCCGCCCTCCCCAGGCACAGAGCTGGGAGCAGCCTCTGAGCACTGCAAGAACCTTGCAGACTTGGGACTTCAGCGTGGATGTAGAGGTTAGGGTATTTCCCTTGCATGCAGCCAAGCCCGGTTTGAATCCTTGGCACACATGGTACCCTGAGCACCACCAGGAGTGGTTCCTGAGCAGAGAGCCAAGGGTAAACCCAGAACACTGACAAATGTGACTCAAAAAACAAACAAACAAACAAAAAAGAAATAAGGAAGACAGAGAAGGGGGGAAGAGAGAAAGAAAGAGAGAGAGAGATCAGGCTAAATAAACAATCTAGGTCAGCTCTCCTGGGAAATGTAAGCAACCCATGGACACGAAAGTGAGGAATTTGGGCTCATTTAGTAAAGTGGGTAGTACCGTTAAGTGGTATCACAGACCCATGTGAGTACCGGCTCTCGGTCTCTCAACCACAGCCCAGGGTCTGGACCGCAGGGAGCAGGAGCTGAGGTGAACCACAATGTCTGGAAATTGGGGATCAGACCTGGAATCTGGTCTCACCTCCAGGGGGCGCTCTGAGCCAGCCTCCTCCTGCAGGTCATGGGGTGCCGCCGCCCTTCACTGGGCAGCCCCTCACAGGCTCTCTCCTTTGCTCCCAGACCCGTGCCACGGTGTTACTTGCAGACCCCAAGAGAAGTGCGAGGAGAAAGACGGCCAGGGCGTGTGTGTGCCCAACTACCAGGCCGTGTGCTTGGTCTGGGGAGACCCCCACTACCAGTCCTTCGATGGCCGGAACTTCAACTTCCAGGGTACCTGCGACTACGTGCTGGCCACCACTGAGTGTCCGACAGGCAATGCCACAGGCCTGACCCCCTTCACCATCACCACCAAGAATGAGAACCGCGGCAACCCCGCTGTGTCCTACGTGAAGCAGGTCACTGTGAGCACGCTCGGCGTCAACATCTCCATCCACAAAAAAGAGAAGGGCCATGTCCGGGTAGGTCTGGCTGGAGGGGTCCTGCAGCCCTCCTCCTGGCTCCCAACTCCCAGAAGGGCAGGAGAGGCTGTATTGGGCACAGCGATGGCAGCCCCAGGCTTTTTAGCTCCTCCTCAGTCAAAATGTCAGCAAAAGGGGCCAGAGAGATAGCACAGCTGGTAGGGAATTGTCTTGCATGCAACTGATCCTGGTGCGATCCCCGGCACCCCCATATGGTCCCCTGAGCCCACCAGGAGTGATCCTGGAGCACAGAGCCAGGAGCAATCCCTGAGCACCACCAGGTGTGAGCCCAAAACAAAGTCAGCAATGCCAACAATGAAGACAGTAAGAACACACACACACACACACACACACACACACACACACACACACACTTGCAGGTCCAATTGGCCCAGCCCTTTGCTCAGGACCAAATCAGAGAACTTCTGGTCCCGGCCAGGTTAGAAACCAGGTTTGAATCCAGGCTCCCCTCATGAGCTGAGACACGCTGGGGCCTCAGTTTTCCTTATTTCAGAAGGGGGATTAGAGCAGCTTCTGCCTCTCAGGGAGACTGTGGCCTGCACGGAGACTCAGTAGACGTTCCCACCTGCAGCATAATTCAGGGAGATGGAGGGAGAAGGGGAGTGAGAAAGATACAGAGGAGAGAGAGAGAGAGAGAGAGAGAGAGAGAGAGAGAGAGAGAGAGAGAGAGAGAGAGCAGAAAGAGACAAAGAGCAATCCAGAACGAGAGATCTAGGGCGTGGAGAGTGGGGAGGGTAGGGCACTTGCCTTGAGTACATCCACGTTCTATCTGTGGCATTCCCAAGCTCAGGAGTGAACCCTGAGCATAGATAGAGCCAGAGGTAAGCCCTGAGCACTACTGAGTGTGGTTCAAAAACCAACAGCAAACGAGAACGAGAGAGCTGGAGGGGAAGAGAGACAACAGAGAGGTTAGAGAGAGAGTTGGAAGGCACCGAGGGTCCTCCAGAAGCCAGGCTGAGGTTCCATTGTCTGAGCCTGTTGCCGAGCAGCTGTCTGAGTTGTTTGTTGAGCGACTGTGTGAGCACAGCAACAGCCTGCCGGGGTAGGGAGAGGGGTGGGAGGAGCTCTGGGCTCTGGCCACCCCTCTCAAGTGACCCTCTGCCTCCCTTCCCCGCTTCCCCAGGTGAACCAAGTGCTCACAGCTCTGCCAGTCTCCGAGGCCGGCGGGCGCATTACCGTGACCCAGGGACCTGGCAAGGCCGTGCTGGTCACCAACTTCGGGCTGCAGGTCACCTACGATTGGAATGCGCGGGTGGAGGTGACGCTGCCCAGCAGCTACTCTGACGCCGTGTGCGGGCTCTGCGGGAACATGGACCGCAACGTCAGCAATGACCGAGTCTTCCCCAACGGCACCCTGGCTCCCTCGAACACCGCATGGGGTGGCAGCTGGAGAGTCCCCGACTCGGACCCCTTCTGCTGGGACGAGTGTCAGGGCTCCTGCCCGTCCTGCTCCGAGGACCAGCTGGAGCAGTTCAGCGGCCCTGGCTTCTGCGGGCCCCTGGCCTCTGGCTCCGGAGGCCCCTTCGCCGCCTGCCATGCCCACGTGCCTCCCGAGAGCTACTTCAAGGGCTGTGTCATAGACGTGTGCTTCGGTGGTGGATCCCAGGACATACTCTGCCAGGCACTGGCGGCCTATGCTGCCGCCTGCCAGGCCGCGGGGGTAGTCATCGAGGACTGGAGGACGCAGCTTGGCTGTGGTGAGTGTTGGGGAACACCGGGGAACTGGGGGGTCCTGTCTAGTTAGTTTTACTCCAGTCCTTCTGGGACTTTTTGTTGTTGTTTTGGGGCCACACCTGGTGATGTTCAGGGGTTACTCCCGGCTCTGCGCTCCTGGTGGTGCTCAGGGAACTATATGGGATGCCGGGGATCAAATCCAGGTTGGCCACTGCAAGACAAGTGCCCTCCTGCTGTACCATCACTCCAGTATCCCCACTTCTTAATCTCTCTCTCTCTCTCTCTCTCTCTCTCCCCCCCCCCAGAAATGCCCTGCCCCCAGAACAGCCACTACGAGCTCTGCGGCAACCCCTGCCCGGCCAGTTGCCCCTCTCCTCTCCCGCCCCCCGAGCCCGCTCAGTGCGAGGGCCCCTGTGCTGAGGGCTGCCAGTGTGACGAAGGCTTCGTGCTGAGCGCCGGCCAGTGCGTGTCCCTGGACAGTGGCTGCGGCTGCTGGGTCAATGGCACTTACCACGAGGCTGGCAGTGAGTTCTGGGCCGACAGCACCTGCTCCCAGCGCTGCCGCTGCGGCCCCGGAAACAGCTCCGTGGTCTGCTCGCCCGCCAGCTGTGGGCAGGGTGAAGAATGCGGCCTGCTTCCATCTGGCCAGCTCGGCTGCCGCCCAACCAGCACAGCCGAGTGTAAGGCCTGGGGCGACCCCCACTACCTCACTCTGGATGGGCACCGATACAACTTCCAAGGCGCCTGTGAGTACCTGCTGAGCGCGCCCTGCCATGGGCTGCCCCATGGCCTGGAGAACTTCACCGTCACCGTCGCCAACGAGCACCGCGGCAGCCAGGCAGTGAGCTACACCCGCAGCGCCAGCCTCTACATCTATAATCACAACCTGACGGTCAGCTCCCGCTGGCCCCGCCAGCTGCAGGTGAGAGTTCCGTGAGGTCTCTGGCCTGCCACTCACCTCCCCCAGGCGGCAAGGGCTCTGTGCCGGCCCTGAGCTAGGACAGTTTAGAGCAGGGACCTCCCGGAGTCCTTGTTTATTCTTTCCTGAAATAGGCTCTAAAGACTTTGGTGCAGGAACTGGATGAACGAGGAACTGGATTTGAGCACCAGCCTGGCAGGGTTCTCTGAGCATGGAGCGAGGAGTGACCCCAAAGCCCCCCAATACAAAAGGCTGGGGCTGGGAGCCACAGCACAGCGGGTAGGATGCTTGTCTTGCATGAAGCTGGCCCGGGTTTGATCCCTGGCATCCCAGAGGGTCCCCCGAGCCTGTCAGGAGGAACCCCTGAGTGCAGACCCAGGAGTAAGCCCTCTGCATCGTTGGGTGTGCCCCCTCCAAGAAATAATAGCACTGCACTATAGCACTTATCCTCCTGTTGTTCATGGATTTGCTGAAGAGGGCACCAGTAACATCTCCATTGTGAGACTAGTTACTGTTTTTGGCATATCAAACACGCCAACGGGGAGCTTGCCAGGCTCTGCTGTGCAGGCAGGATACTCTCAGTAGCTGTCCGCGCTCTTCGAGAGGGAAAGAGGAACCAAACCTGTGTGGGCCCCATGCAATAGGCTACCCGCTGTGCTATCGCCCCATAAAATGAATAAATATAATAGTAAATAAAATAAATAACTTATGGTCAGGAAGATAGCGTAGAGGATCAGGAACTTGCCTTGCACACAGCTGACCCCCGTTCCATCCTCAGAACCGTGTATGATCCTCCCTCCCAGTACTACCAGGAGTGATCCCTGAGCACAATGGTTAAAAAAATGAAATGTGCCTAAGAATGAAGGCCACCAGGGGCTGGAGAGAGTACAGGGGTTAAGGTGCTTGTCTCGCATGCTGCCAGCTCCACACCTTGGTGTTCCCCTGAGCACCGTCAGGAGCCAGGTGTTGCCCCAAAACCAAAATAAATAAAAAATTCGAAGAAAAGTACCTGCTGGGTCCAGAACAATAGTACAATGAGTAAAGCAGTTGCTTGTACACGGACAGCCCAGGTTTGAGCCCCAGCTCTTTATATGGTTTCCTGTGCCCCGCCAGGAGTAATCTCTGAGGACAGAACCTGAGCACGGCCGACCGGGTGTGGCCCAAATCAACATATTCTTGTCTTAATTTTTCAAAATTAATAAGTTGCTGCCTCAAGGGGCCGGGACAATAGTACAGCAGGTAGGGCGTTTGCCTTGCATGCGGTCTATCAGGCTTCAATCCCTGGCATCGCATAGGGCCCCCCAAACACCACCAGGAGTAATTCCTGAGTGCAGAGCCAGGTGTAACCTCTGAGCATCGCCGGATGCGACACAAAAAGTGAAACAAAAAAAAAAAGGTCGCTGCTTCAGAGGGCAAGTGAGAGCCAGCAGCAGCTTCTCTGTATCATCGTTATTATGATGATTATTACCCACCATCCTCCCACTATGGTCACAGGGCCGAGGGCCTCTGCTCAGAATTCCACCCCAGGGACTCAAACCTGTGTCCATGCCCCGCCCGCAGGTGGATGGTGTGCTGGTGGCACTGCCCTTCCAGCTGGACTCGCGCCTGCATGCATACCTGAGCGGCAGGGACGTGGTGGTGAAGGCTGCCAATGGGATCTCAATGGCCTACGACGGCAAGAGTGACCTGCGCCTGCGTGTGCCCGCAGCATACCAGGGCATCCTCTGTGGCCTGTGTGGGAACTACAACCAGAATGCAACGGACGACCCGCAGGCAGTGGGCAAGAATCCTGGCCAGTGGCAGGTGGGCGGCACCGAAGACTGTGACAAGTGCGTGCCCGGGCCGTGCCCGCCACAGTGCACGCCCGAACAGCAGGCACAGTTTGCTGGACCCGACGCCTGTGGTATCATCTCAGCCCCCAACGGCCCGCTGGCACCCTGCCACCACCTCGTGCCACCTAACCAATTCTTTGAGGCCTGTTTGCTGGATGCTTGCCAGGCACAGAACAACCAGGAAGGGCTCTGTCAAGCAGTGGCCGCCTATGTGGCAGCCTGCCAGGCCGCTGGGGCCCAGATCGATGAGTGGAGACGTCCTGACTTCTGTCGTGAGTACTGACCCATGCTTGTGACCCCACCCACTTTAAGAACGCTAAGACTAGGTCCTTCTAGTGTGGCTTAAGGTCTGCAGTGCTCTCGTCCAAATAGCTCCTTTTGGGGCGGGAGAGAGTCCAACAGGGGCAAGCACTTGCCTTGCACGCAGCCACTTTGGCCAAGGCCCTGATTCAATCCCTGGCACCACATATGGTGCCCTGAGCAGTGCTAGTAGTGATTCCTGAATACTGAGCAGGTGTGGTCCAAAAGCAAAGTCAAAACAAAAAAAAGATAGTGGGGCCTAAACATAACAGTGGGTAGGTACTACTGGGTGGGGTCCACAAACAGGCAAAAACAGCACTTTGAGACTGGAGCGTGATAGTTCAGTGGGTAGGGCATTTGCATGCTGGGGTTTGATCCCCGGCATCCCATATGGTCCCCTGAGCACTGCCAACAGTAATTCTTGAGTGCAGACGTAATCCCTGAGCATTGCCAGGTGTGGCCCCCAAAACCAAAACATATAGCATCTGTCCAGCAAGAGAGCCCAATGGGCCGGAGCCATGCTTTGTACGCAGGAGGCCCAGGTTTCTCAGTTCCTGAAGGGCAACACTGGGAGGGATCTTTGAACACAGAACTGGGAGTAGCCCCCAAACACTGCTAGATGCACCCTCCCCTGCTCCCCACAAAAAAGAAAAGTTAGAACTTGGTCAGAGAGCTGGACTTACTAGAACAGAAATCACTGGGCAGGAGGGATAGCACAGCAGTCAGGATGCTTGTCTTGCATGCAGCCAACCTGGGTTTGACCCCTGGTACCCATATGATCCCTAGAACCCTGTCAGCCGTGATCCTGGAGCACAGAGCCAGGAAGAAGCCTTGCCAGCTGTGGCAGATAACAGAAAGAACTTGCACTAACTAAGATCTGCGTGTGAAATGTTCTCAGGCAGAGACCAGCCAGTTCACTAGCCTGGGGGGCTGGGGAAAGGTGGGGGGGGGTTCGTCTCCTCCCCTGGGTACCTCCCTGCCTCGTACGTGCCTCACTTGCTTCCCCTCTTGTCCTCGCCCCCTGCAGCCCTCCAGTGCCCAGCCAACAGCCACTACCAGCTCTGTGGGGACTCCTGCCCCATAAGCTGCCCAAGCCTGTCCACCCCGGAGGGCTGCGACTCAGCCTGCATCGAGGGCTGTGTGTGTGACCCAGGCTTCGTGCTCAGCGGGGACACCTGCGTGCCTGTGGGCCAGTGCGGCTGCCTCCATGAGGGCCGCTACTACCCGCTGGGTCAAACCTTCTACCCCGGCCCCGACTGCAGCTCCCTGTGCCACTGCCAGCAGGATGGCGTGGTGTCCTGCCAGGCTGCCGGCTGCGGCCCGCACGAGGCCTGCCGACCCAGCAACGGTACGCTGGGCTGCGTGTCAGTGGGGTCGGTCACCTGCGAGGCGTCGGGAGACCCCCACTACACCACCTTCGACGGCCGCCGCTTCAACTTCATGGGCGCCTGCCTGTACGTACTCGCTAGCACATGCAGGAGCCAGCCCGGCCTGCCCCAGGCCCCCAGCCTGCCCCAGTTCACAGTCCTGCAGGAAAACGTGCACTGGAACGGGGACCGCGTGAGCGTGACCAAGGCCATCACCGTGATAGTGGGGAACTACACCCTGCGGCTGGAACAGAATCTGTGGAAGGTCACGGTGAGCACCAGGGTCATGAGGCAGGGCCCCTCCAGTGAGGGGCAAGGCTTCAGGGTAATGGGCAGGGCCTCTGGTGCGAGGGGCGGGGCCATCAGAGCCAGGATCAGGGGCAGGCCCAAGTCCATGCCTGAACCAGTGGCAGGAGGGTGAGGCCTGATGTCCCGAGGAGCCAAGGTTGTCTTAGCTCAGAGGCATGGAGGTGGGAGGGAACCTTGGACCTGCACTGGTGGTGCATTGTCTCCCTGAGCCCGTTCCTTGACTAGCCCCTTTGGTCTCCCCCACCCTTCACTTCATCCTCCAGGCCTAGTGGGGTCTGGCACCACGTAATCCCCCGAGCACTGCAGGCAGTGAACCTCCTCCATAGCATAGCCTCAGGTGTGCTGCCCTGCAAAGAAGAAGGAACACAAGGTGATATTCTGCAGTCCTAGGGGCGCATATCATTTGGGGGCCACCACTCAAACACCAGAAGACCCTGTTATTGGGGCCGGAGTGATAGTAGAGCGGGTAGGTTGCTTCCCTAGCACATGCCCAGCCCGGTTTGTTCCCCATGTGATCCCCTGAGCACCACATATGGTCCCCTGAGCCGCACCAGGAGTGATCCCTGAGTGCAGAGCTAGGAGTTCTCCTGGAGCACCGCTGGATGTGGCCCCCCAAACATACAAAATAAAACAGAACCACTAAAAACCTTGTTATTACGCCATCTAACAAATATGAAAATTAAGGCTCTGTGAGGTGAGGTTCCCCACATGGTCAGCGTCAGGCAGGAGCTGGGCCTCGAGTCTGCGCGCTCCCAAGGCACCCTCTGAAGCTTGGCTTCTCCCTGCCCAGGTGAACGGCGTGGACATGAATCTGCCGGTGGTGCTGAACAACGGCGAAATCCGTGTCTCCCAGCACGGCTCAGACGTGGCGATCGAGACCAACTTCGGCCTGCGCGTGACCTACGACCTCAAGTACTATGTGCGGGTCACGGTCCCGGGCAGCTACTACCAACAGCTGTGCGGCTTGTGTGGAGACTACAACGGCGACCCCAAGGATGATTTCCAGAAGCCCGATGGCTCCCAGGCCAGCAACCCCAACGACTTCGGCAACTCCTGGGAGGAGAAGGTGCCTGGCTCGCCATGCCTGCCGGCGCCCCCCACCACCTGCCAGCCCGGTGGGGACTGCGGGGAAGGTGCGGTGTGCACGCCCGAGCAGCAGCAGCAGTTCCAGCAGGACGGTTTCTGCGGCTTCCTCACTAACCCCAACGGGCCACTGGCCGCCTGCCACTCGTTTATCGACCCTGAGGGTGCCCTGCAGGACTGCGTGTTCGACATGTGCGTGGGCAACGGGAACCAGAGCATCCTCTGCTCCACCATCCACGCCTATGTGAGTGCCTGCCAGGCCGCAGGGGGCCAGGTGAAGCCCTGGAGGAACGAGTCGTTCTGCCGTGAGTGAGGGACAGAGAAGGAGGGAAACGTGGGTGAGGGGTGGGGAGGGACCCAGCCCAAGAGCAGGGGAGGAGAGGGCAAAGGAGGAAAGGACACGCAATAAGGGCAGACCCCAGACCCTGCGCCCCCTCTGTCGCTCGGGGACTCACGTGGCCCTTCCCCTCTCTTTGCAGCCATGATCTGTCCCCCCAACAGCCACTACGAGATCTGTGCAGACACCTGCTCTCTGGGGTGCTCTGCACTCAGCGCACCCCCACATTGCCCCGACAGCTGTGCTGAGGGCTGCCAGTGTGACCCCGGCTTTCTCAACAGTGGCAACGCCTGTGTGCCCGAACAGGACTGTGGCTGCTTCCACAATGGCATCTACTATGAGGTGAGAGAGAGGGCTGGGCCCAGGATGGGGCTCTGATTTGAAGCTGGAACCTAGGAACCAGGGAAAACTGGGAGGGGCGAGGAAGCTGGTGGGGAGGGGGTGGGCAGAGGCAGAGCAGGGGCCACGGCTCCGAGGCTGGGCTGAGGAAAACACACGGGCGTGCAGTCGTTGAGAATCAGAGGGGCGCAGTGTGGGATTCAGATCATCAAGGGCCTTCAGTGGGGGTGGATTGAAAGGGACACCGGGTGGGAGAAGAGATGCGGGGAAAGGGGACCCAGAAAGAGGGTGCCGCAAGGGCAGACGCCTTGAAGTGCCTCTGGGAGTGAGTGGGGTGATGGAGATGCAGACACCGGCAGAGGCCTCCTCACCTTCTCAGCCATCCCGGAGCCATCCACAGAGTCCCCTGGGTGCCTCCCCCCTGTCTTCCATGCTCCCCAGCCCCTGCAGGTGGGAAGGGCTTTCTCACTCACCCCCAGGCTCTGCTACCCCAAACCCTCCCTTCCTCCCACATTTTGGTTCTGGATCCCAAGCCAGTTGTATCTCTGACACATCTGCTCCTCTGTGTTATCTTCGCTGTCTTTCCCTCAGCTTCCAATGCGCCCTTTCCCTTGGCTGGGGTGTGCACCACCCCTAGATTGGTCTGCCTCAAAGGAGTGGGTGCTCTGGGCAGCAGGACCCTCTAGCATAGTTCTCCAACACACAGTAGTGACAGGGGCCAAGACACAGATGGAATTCCCTCTGTGCTGGACACACACACACACACATTCTCTAAACCTTGTTATTTTCTCACCTTTAAATAACCTGGGCTTGAACTGCCTGGATCTACATAGAAACGGATGTTCAAAAACAAATACCTAAGTGGAGTGTGTTTAAGTCTTTATTCTCACCCTTACAGTTTTACAGTTAGTATTATCCCAATTTGTAAGAATGCAGTGTCTAGAGGCTAGAGTTATAGTATAATAGGTATGGCGTTTACCTTGTATGCAACCAATTTGAGATTGATCCCTGGCAGTCCATATAGTCCTCCAAGCTCACCAGGAGTGATCCCTGAGTGCACAGCAAGAAATAAGTCCAGAGCACCACCAGGTGTGGCCCCAAAACCAAAATAATAATAATAATAAATTAAAAATAAAATAGACAAAGTAAAAAATAAGGACCTGAGGGCATAGGATAGGGGATAAAGCACTTGCCTTGCGTATCGCCAGCCCTGATTCATTCCCAGGACTGCAGATGCTTGCCTAACACAAAATGTACAGAAAATGGAGTTACGGAGACAGTATAACTGCTTTGTGGGCACAGGACCCCAGTTCAGTTTCTGACATCATCCAGCCCCCTGGAAATTGCTGGGAGTAACCCTGGCCAATCCCCACTCAGCAGGGCCAGAATTATTTCATATATTCCATATCTTCGAGCCCCAGCATTGAACCATCAGCCCAGCTGGCCAGGAATTCCTAAGACTGGCTTCCTGTGCCACTATGCACAAAACTGGGGGAGAACCCCCAAAATTATCAAGTATGTGTTAATCAGCTTTATGCTATCAACAGGGATTCTGGTAACAGCAGGCTATTAGAAATCAAGTTTGGGGGAGTCCAAAGCTAGTCATAGATTTAGTCTGCTCAGGGAGGGGGCTGGAGTGATAGCACAGGGGGTAAGGCGTTTGCCTTGCACGCAACCGACCCGTCCGACCCAAGTTCAATTCCTTCCCCCCTTTCAGAGAGCCTGGCAAGCTACCAAGTGTATCTTGCTGACAAGGCAAAGCCTAGCAAGCTACCCATGACGTATTCGATATGCCAAACACAGTAACAACAATTCTCAAAATGTTACTGGGCCCACTCGAGCAAATCAATGTAGAATGGGAGGACAGTGACAGTGACAGGGAGGGGGCATTGGTGCCCCTTCTCATGCTGTTGAACACTCAGTCCTGTGTCTCATAGGGGTGTGTGTGTGTGTGTGTGTGTGTGTGTGTGCCACATACAAATATAAACTTTATTATTTTTTTTCCTTTTGGGTAACACCTGGCAATGCACAGGGTTTACTCCTGACTCTGCACTCAGGAATTACTCCTGGCAGTGCTTGGGGGACCATATGGGATGCTGGAAAACAAACCGGGTCAGCCGCGTGCAAGAAAAACGCCCTACCCGCTGTGCTATTGCTCCAGCCCCAGATGTAAACATTTTGTGACAAAAATCTTCCAACACGCAGAAGCTGAGGGTATAGTGCAATAAGTGTCCCTGGGCACATCCTTTGGCTTTAAAAATCATCACCACTTTCCCAAGCCATTCCCTCTCTCCGTGCCCCTCTCTTCAGCCTGAATGACTTCAGCCTTTCCATTTCATGTTTCCTCTGTTTGACCCACTGCGCTGCCCTTTCACGGGTGGGCATGATCATAATCTGAAGCTTTCAGAGGAGGGCTCCGAGCGTAGAGAATTAAGCCATACTGTGGCTTGGACGGGGCGAAGATGGCTGTGGGCCCCAGCACTGTGCTCAGCTCCCGGCTTCCTCTTTCTCCTGGGGCACTTGCCTGGTGGATATGCTGCAGTGAACGAAAGGGCGAGAGAACGAACGAATTGGACCCTAAGGCCATGCTGTGTCTTACATTCCCAGCCAGGGGGTCACCCTGCTGAAAGCTTGTCTGCCCTGGAAGCTCAGAGAGGTCAAAATCAGTCCTCAGCCTGACATTGGTGCGCTCTGTGCCCACAGCCAAACACGACTGTGCTCCTGAACAACTGCCGGCTACGGTGTGTGTGCCACGGTGCCAAAGCCATGGTGTGCCGCAACCACACCTGCCTCCCGCATGAAGTGTGCGAGCCTTCAGGAGGTGTCCTGAGCTGCATCAGCAAAGGTGCAGTGCCCTGGGCCTGGCAGGGGCGGGGCCTGGAGGATCTGGGCGGGGCCCGGAAGGATCTGGGTGGAGCCTGAATCAGGGCAAGTGGGGCACTGGTCTGGCAGCTGAACAAGGGTGCTACTGCCTGGTACTGGAGGCTAGAGCGATGATACAACAGATATCATTGCCTTGACCAGGGTTTAATCTCCGGCATCCCAAATGGTCCCTTGAGCACCTCCAGGAGTGATTCCTGTTTGCAGTCAGGAGTAACCCTTGAGCATGCCTGGTATGGCCAGAAAAAAAACAAAACAAAAGAGTGCAGGTGTTAACCCTGCTGGTGGGGTGACCAGGATCTTTGCTTGTGGTAGGCATGGGTGGTCTCAGATCCTCAAGGGTAAGGACCCCCAGGCAGAGGGGGGAGGTGGTATTCCAGAGTCAGAGGAGCCTCCAAATTTGAAGGCAGAGACCTGGGGCCAGGTCAGACACCCTCAGCCTGGAGTAGAGACAGGGAGAGCTTTCTGTCTGAAGGACCAAAAGTAAGTATAGACACTGGAATGATAGGGAGATGGCTCAGTGGGCTGGAGCTCAGGCTTTGCAGGTAGTAGGTCCAGTTACATCCCAGCACCACACGGTCCCCCAAGGGACAGAGCTGGGAGCAGCCTCTGAGCACTGTTGGGTGTAATCCAAAAATTAAAAAGAAAAAACAAGAACCTTGCAGACTTGGGACTTCAGCGTTGATGTAAAGGTTAGGGTATTTCCCTTGCATGCAGCCAAGCCCGGTTTGAATCCTTGGCACACATGGTACCCTGAGCACCACCAGGAGTGGTTCCTGAGCAGAGAGCCAAGGGTAAACCCAGAACACTGACAAATGTGACTCAAAAAACAAACAAACAAACAAAAAAGAAATAAGGAAGACAGAGAAGGGGGGAAGAGAGAAAGAAAGAGAGAGAGAGATCAGGCTAAATAAACAATCTAGGTCAGCTCTCCTGGGAAATGTAAGCAACCCATGGACACGAAAGTGAGGAATTTGGGCTCATTTAGTAAAGTGGGTAGTACCGTTAAGTGGTATCACAGACCCATGTGAGTACCGGCTCTCGGTCTCTCAACCACAGCCCAGGGTCTGGACCGCAGGGAGCAGGAGCGGAGGCTGACCCCAATGTCTGGAAATTGGGGATCAGACCTGGAATCTGGTCTCACCTCCAGGGGGCGCTCTGAGCCAGCCTCCTCCTGCAGGTCATGGGGTGCCGCCGCCCTTCACTGGGCAGCCCCTCACAGGCTCTCTCCTTTGCTCCCAGACCCGTGCCACGGTGTTACTTGCAGACCCCAAGAGAAGTGCGAGGAGAAAGACGGCCAGGGCGTGTGTGTGCCCAACTACCAGGCCGTGTGCTTGGTCTGGGGAGACCCCCACTACCAGTCCTTCGATGGCCGGAACTTCAACTTCCAGGGTACCTGCGACTACGTGCTGGCCACCACTGAGTGTCCGACAGGCAATGCCACAGGCCTGACCCCCTTCACCATCACCACCAAGAATGAGAACCGCGGCAACCCCGCTGTGTCCTACGTGAAGCAGGTCACTGTGAGCACGCTCGGCGTCAACATCTCCATCCACAAAAAAGAGAAGGGCCATGTCCGGGTAGGTCTGACTGGAGGGGTCCTGCAGCCCTCCTCCTGGCTCCCAACTCCCAGAAGGGCAAGAGAGGCTGTATTGGGCACAGCGATGGCAGCCCCAGGCTTTTTAGCTCCTCTTCAGTCAAAATGTCAGCAAAAGGGGCCAGAGAGATAGCACAGCTGGTAGGGAATTGTCTTGCATGCAACTGATCCTGGTGCGATCCCCGGCACCCCCATATGGTCCCCTGAGCCCACCAGGAGTGATCCTGGAGCACAGAGCCAGGAGCAATCCCTGAGCACCACCAGGTGTGAGCCCAAAACAAAGTCAGCAATGCCAACAATGAAGACAGCAAGAACACACACACACACACACACACACACACACACACACACACACACACACACTTGCAGGTCCAATTGGCCCAGCCCTTTGCTCAGGACCAAATCAGAGAACTTCTGGTCCCGGCCAGGTTAGAAACCAGGTTTGAATCCAGGCTCCCCTCATGAGCTGAGACACGCTGGGGCCTCAGTTTTCCTTATTTCAGAAGGGGGATTAGAGCAGCTTCTGCCTCTCAGGGAGACTGTGGCCTTCACGGAGGCTCAGCAGACGTTCCCACCTGCAGCATAATTCAGGGAGATGGAGGGAGAAGGGGAGTGAGAAAGATACAGAGGAGAGAGAGAGAGAGCAGAAAGAGACAAAGAGCAATCCAGAACGAGAGATCTAGGGCCGTGGAGAGTATGGAGGGCAGGGCACTTGCCTTGAGTGCATCCACGTTCTATCTGTGGCATTCCCAAGCTCAGGAGTGAACCCTGAGCATAGATAGAGCCAGAGGTAAGCCCTGAGCACTACTGAGTGTGGTTCAAAAACCAACAGCAAACGAGAACGAGAGAGCTGGAGGGGAAGAGAGACAACAGAGAGCTTAGAGAGAGAGTTGGAAGGCACCGAGGGTCCTCCAGAAGCCAGGCTGAGGTTCCATTGTCGGAGCCTGTTTGCCGAGCAGCTGTCTGAGTTGTTTGTTGAGCGACTGTGTGAGCACAGCAGCAGCCTGCCGGGGTAGGGAGAGGGGTGGGAGGAGCTCAGTGGCCAGAGCTGAGCTGACCCTCTGCCTCCCTTCCCCGCTTCCCCAGGTGAACCAAGTGCTCACAGCTCTGCCAGTCTCCGAGGCCGGCGGGCGCATTACCGTGACCCAGGGACCTGGCAAGGCCGTGCTGGTCACCAACTTCGGGCTGCAGGTCACCTACGATTGGAATGCGCGGGTGGAGGTGACGCTGCCCAGCAGCTACTCTGACGCCGTGTGCGGGCTCTGCGGGAACATGGACCGCAACGTCAGCAATGACCGAGTCTTCCCCAACGGCACCCTGGCTCCCTCGAACACCGCATGGGGTGGCAGCTGGAGAGTCCCCGACTCGGACCCCTTCTGCTGGGACGAGTGTCAGGGCTCCTGCCCGTCCTGCTCCGAGGACCAGCTGGAGCAGTTCAGCGGCCCTGGCTTCTGCGGGCCCCTGGCCTCTGGCTCCGGAGGCCCCTTCGCCGCCTGCCATGCCCACGTGCCTCCCGAGAGCTACTTCAAGGGCTGTGTCATAGACGTGTGCTTCGGTGGTGGATCCCAGGACATACTCTGCCAGGCACTGGCGGCCTATGCTGCCGCCTGCCAGGCCGCGGGGGTAGTCATCGAGGACTGGAGGACGCAGCTTGGCTGTGGTGAGTGTTGGGGAACACCGGAGAACTGGGGGGTCCTGTCTAGTTAGTTTTACTCCAGTCCTTCTGGGACTTTTTGTTGTTGTTTTGGGGCCACGCCTGGTGATGTTCAGGGGTTACTCCCGGCTCTGCGCTCAGGAATCCCTCCTGGCGGTGCTCAGGGAACTATATGGGATGCCGGGGATCAAATCTAGGTTGGCCACTGCAAGACAAGTGCCCTCCTGCTGTACCATCACTCCAGTATCCCCACTTCTTAATCTCTCTCTCTCTCTCTCTCTCTCTCTCCCCCCCCCCCCAGAAATGCCCTGCCCCCAGAACAGCCACTACGAGCTCTGCGGCAACCCCTGCCCGGCCAGTTGCCCCTCTCCTCTCCCGCCCCCCGAGCCCGCTCAGTGCGAGGGCCCCTGTGCTGAGGGCTGCCAGTGTGACGAAGGCTTCGTGCTGAGCGCCGGCCAGTGCGTGTCCCTGGACAGTGGCTGCGGCTGCTGGGTCAATGGCACTTACCACGAGGCTGGCAGTGAGTTCTGGGCCGACAGCACCTGCTCCCAGCGCTGCCGCTGCGGCCCCGGAAACAGCTCCGTGGTCTGCTCGCCCGCCAGCTGTGGGCAGGGTGAAGAATGCGGCCTGCTTCCATCTGGCCAGCTCGGCTGCCGCCCAACCAGCACAGCCGAGTGTAAGGCCTGGGGCGACCCCCACTACCTCACTCTGGATGGGCACCGATACAACTTCCAAGGCGCCTGTGAGTACCTGCTGAGCGCGCCCTGCCATGGGCTGCCCCATGGCCTGGAGAACTTCACCGTCACCGTCGCCAACGAGCACCGCGGCAGCCAGGCAGTGAGCTACACCCGCAGCGCCAGCCTCTACATCTATAATCACAACCTGACGGTCAGCTCCCGCTGGCCCCGCCAGCTGCAGGTGAGAGTTCCGTGAGGTCTCTGGCCTGCCACTCACCTCCCCCAGGCGGCAAGGGCTCTGTGCCGGCCCTGAGCTAGGACAGTTTAGAGCAGGGACCTCCCGGAGTCCTTGTTTATTCTTTCCTGAAATAGGCTCTAAAGACTTTGGTGCAGGAACTGGATGAACGAGGAACTGGATTTGAGCACCAGCCTGGCAGGGTTCTCTGAGCATGGAGCGAGGAGTGACCCCAAAGCCCCCCAATACAAAAGGCTGGGGCTGGGAGCCACAGCACAGCGGGTAGGATGCTTGTCTTGCATGAAGCTGGCCCGGGTTTGATCCCTGGCATCCCAGAGGGTCCCCCGAGCCTGTCAGGAGGAACCCCTGAGTGCAGACCCAGGAGTAAGCCCTCTGCATCGTTGGGTGTGCCCCCTCCAAGAAATAATAGCACTGCACTATAGCACTTATCCTCCTGTTGTTCATGGATTTGCTGAAGAGGGCACCAGTAACATCTCCATTGTGAGACTAGTTACTGTTTTTGGCATATCAAACACGCCAACGGGGAGCTTGCCAGGCTCTGCTGTGCAGGCAGGATACTCTCAGTAGCTGTCCGCGCTCTTCGAGAGGGAAAGAGGAACCAAACCTGTGTGGGCCCCATGCAATAGGCTACCCGCTGTGCTATCGCCCCATAAAATGAATAAATATAATAGTAAATAAAATAAATAACTTATGGTCAGGAAGATAGCGTAGAGGATCAGGAACTTGCCTTGCACACAGCTGACCCCCGTTCCATCCTCAGAACCGTGTATGATCCTCCCTCCCAGTACTACCAGGAGTGATCCCTGAGCACAATGGTTAAAAAAATGAAATGTGCCTAAGAATGAAGGCCACCAGGGGCTGGAGAGAGTACAGGGGTTAAGGTGCTTGTCTCGCATGCTGCCAGCTCCACACCTTGGTGTTCCCCTGAGCACCGTCAGGAGCCAGGTGTTGCCCCAAAACCAAAATAAATAAAAAATTCGAAGAAAAGTACCTGCTGGGTCCAGAACAATAGTACAATGAGTAAAGCAGTTGCTTGTACACGGACAGCCCAGGTTTGAGCCCCAGCTCTTTATATGGTTTCCTGTGCCCCGCCAGGAGTAATCTCTGAGGACAGAACCTGAGCACGGCCGACCGGGTGTGGCCCAAATCAACATATTCTTGTCTTAATTTTTCAAAATTAATAAGTTGCTGCCTCAAGGGGCCGGGACAATAGTACAGCAGGTAGGGCGTTTGCCTTGCATGCGGTCTATCAGGCTTCAATCCCTGGCATCGCATAGGGCCCCCCAAACACCACCAGGAGTAATTCCTGAGTGCAGAGCCAGGTGTAACCTCTGAGCATCGCCGGATGCGACACAAAAAGTGAAACAAAAAAAAAAAGGTCGCTGCTTCAGAGGGCAAGTGAGAGCCAGCAGCAGCTTCTCTGTATCATCGTTATTATGATGATTATTACCCACCATCCTCCCACTATGGTCACAGGGCCGAGGGCCTCTGCTCAGAATTCCACCCCAGGGACTCAAACCTGTGTCCATGCCCCGCCCGCAGGTGGATGGTGTGCTGGTGGCACTGCCCTTCCAGCTGGACTCGCGCCTGCATGCATACCTGAGCGGCAGGGACGTGGTGGTGAAGGCTGCCAATGGGATCTCAATGGCCTACGACGGCAAGAGTGACCTGCGCCTGCGTGTGCCCGCAGCATACCAGGGCATCCTCTGTGGCCTGTGTGGGAACTACAACCAGAATGCAACGGACGACCCGCAGGCAGTGGGCAAGAATCCTGGCCAGTGGCAGGTGGGCGGCACCGAAGACTGTGACAAGTGCGTGCCCGGGCCGTGCCCGCCACAGTGCACGCCCGAACAGCAGGCACAGTTTGCTGGACCCGACGCCTGTGGTATCATCTCAGCCCCCAACGGCCCGCTGGCACCCTGCCACCACCTCGTGCCACCTAACCAGTTCTTTGAGGCCTGTTTGCTGGATGCTTGCCAGGCACAGGGCCACCAGGAAGGCCTCTGTCAAGCAGTGGCTGCCTATGTGGCAGCCTGCCAGGCCGCTGGGGCCCAGATCGATGAGTGGAGACGTCCTGACTTCTGTCGTGAGTACTGACCCATGCTTGTGACCCCACCACTTTAAGAATGCTAAGACTAGGTCCTTCTAGTGTGGCTTAAGGTCTGCAGTGCTCTCGTCCAAATAGCTCCTTTTGGGGCGGGAGACAGTACAACAGGGGCAAGCACTTGCCTTGCACGCAGCCACTTTGGCCAAGGCCCTGATTCAATCCCTGGCACCACATATGGTGCCCTGAGCAGTGCTAGTAGTGATTCCTGAATACTGAGCAGGTGTGGTCCAAAAGCAAAGCCAAAACAAAAACAGGTAGTGGAGCCTACGCAAAACAGTGGGTAGGTACTACTGGGCTGGATCCACAAACAGGCAAAAACAGCACTTTGAGACTGGAGCATGATAGTCCAGTGGGTAGGGCATTTGCATGCTGGGGTTTGATCCCCGGCATCCATATGGTCCCCTGAGCACCGCCAACAGTAATTCTTGAGTGCAGAAGTAATCCCTGAACATTGCCAGGTGTGGCCCCCAAAACCAAAACATATAGCATCTATCCAGCAAGAGAGCCCAATGGGCCGGAGCCATGCTTTGTATGCAGGAGACTCAGGATAACTCAGTTCCTGCAGGGCACCACTGGGTGGGAGATCTATGAACACAGAACTGGGAGTAACCTCCAAACACTGCTAGATGCACCCTCCCCTGCTCCCCACAAAAAGAAACGTTAGAGCTTGGTCAGAGAGCTGAACTTAACTAGAACAGAAATCACTGGGCAGAAGGGATAGAACAGCGGCCAGGATGCTTGCCTTGCATGCAGCCAACCTGGGTTTGACCCCTGGTACCCCATATAATCCCCAGAGCCCTGTCAGCTGTGATCCTGGAGCACAGAGCCAGGAAGAAGCCCTGAGCCCTGCCAGCTGTGTCAGATAACAAAAAGAACTTGCACTCAGATCTGTGTGTGAAATGTTCTCAGGCAGAGACCAGCCAGTTCACCAGCCTGGGGGGCTAGGGGGCGGGGGTCTCCTCCCTTGGGAACCTCCCAGCCTCATACCTGCCTCACTTGCTTCCCCTTTTCTCCCCGCCCCCTGCAGCCCTTCAGTGCCCGGCCAACAGCCACTACCAGCTCTGTGGGGACTCCTGCCCCGTAAGCTGCCCAAGCCTGTCCACCCCAGAGGGCTGCGAGCCAGCCTGCATCGAGGGCTGCGTGTGTGATGCCGGCTTCGTGCTCAGCGGGGACACCTGCGTGCCTGTGGGCCAGTGCGGCTGCCTCCATGAGGGCCGCTACTACCCGCTGGGTCAGACCTTCTACCCTGGGCCCGAATGCGGGCGGCGCTGTGAGTGCAGGCCAGGCGGCAAGGTTCACTGCCAGCAGGGCACTACGTGCAGACCCTACGAGGAGTGCCGGGTGCAGGACGGTGTCCAGGCCTGCTTCCCGACTGGCTGTGGCCGCTGTGTGGCCAGCGGGGGAGTCCACTATATCACCCTGGACGGCCGCGTCTATGACCTTCACGGCTCCTGCTCCTATGTCCTGGCCCGGGTCTGTTGGCCTCAGCCCGGAGACGAGGACTTCTCCATTGTGCTCGAGAAGGACGCAGCCGGGGATGTCCAGCGCCTGCTGATAACGGTGTCTGGTCTGGCTGTGAGCCTGGGCCGAGGGTCACATGTAAGTTGGCAGGACCCTACCTGGGAGGACTGGAGTGGGGGCCTGGGAAACTTAAGGGAGACCTGAGGAGTATATAAAAGGGACTCACATCCTAAGGCGGGAGCAATAGTTAGTAGGGCATTTGCCTTGCACGCAGCCAACCGGATTTGATCCCTGTCATCCCATATGGTCCCCTGGGCACCGTCAGGAGTGATTGCTGAGTGCAGAGCCAGGAGTAACCCCTGAGCATAGCTAGATGTGACCCAAAAAGGGAAAAAAAAACGTGGACCCAGATCTGTCCTGGGCATTTGCTGGGGTCGTGGGGGGGGCCTGGGGGACACAGTCACAGGCCGACTCTCCTCTGGTGTTCGGGGGGGGGGGGTGGTACTATACAGGAAGTGAGGAGACTGAGCAGGACCCAGTTTTTCTCTAGGGTTCTTGGGGACCTCTGACCTTGCTCCCCATGCTTCCCCACAGGTGACTGTGGATGGTGAGGTGGTGACCCTGCCGGTGGCCGTGGGCTCAGTGCGGGTGACCGCCGAGGGTCGGAACATGATTCTGCAGACCACCGAGGGGCTGCGGCTTCTCTACGATGGGGAGGCCTACGTTCTCATCTCCATTCCCAGCTCCTTCCGGGACCGTGTGTGCGGCCTCTGTGGCAACTTCAACGGCAACTGGAGCGATGACCTGGCGCTGCCCAACGGCCAGCTGGCCTCCAGTGTGGAGACCTTCGGAGCGGCCTGGCGCACGCCCAACTCCCCGCCGGGCTGCACTGAGGGCTGTGGGCCCCAGGGCTGCCCCGTGTGCCTGGCGGAGCAGACCGCCCCCTATGAGAGCCTGCAAGCCTGCGGGCGCCTCCAGGACCCCAACGGCCCCTTCAAGGCCTGCCATGACGTGCTGAACCCCTCAGAGTACTTCCGCCAGTGTGTGTACGACCTGTGCGCCTACAAGGGCAACTTCACCTACCTGTGCCGCAGCCTTGCTGCCTACACCGCTGCCTGCCAGGCGGCTGGCGTGGAGGTGAAGCCCTGGAGGACCGACAGCTTCTGCCGTGAGTGATGGGGGACCCTGCCTTGGGGACATCCCTGGCTTCTCCTGTGACGCCCCCTACCCCCCACTCCATGCTCCTTCCAAGAGCCCACGCTCCTGAGACCTGCTCGGGGTTCCTTTCTGCAGGGAGCTAGGAGGGTGGGTCAGGCTGGCAGCTTCCCACACGAGGGCCAGAGCCTCCCATGGGTGGGACCCCCAGGATGGTACCCCCAGGACAGGGTCCCCAAGACTGGACCTCCAGGCTAGGACCCTTAGGATGGGGCTCCCAGACAGGACCCTGCAGGACAAGTCCCTCAGGATGAGACCCCCCCCCTCCAGGCCAGCACTGTACCTTTCAGATCTCCTCAGTCAGGGGTCCTGTTCCCTTCCAGCCTCCACTCAGCCAAGTCTCTGTCTCGGCCCACCCCCCTGACCTGAGTGTTTGCATCTTTCCTGAGCACAGAGAGTGGGTGCTGTATCTAGCCCTGACCTCTGAGGATGGGTGTCTCCTGCGTGTCCTCAGGGACCTTCCACCTACTGCATTCGCATGTGACATCAGGATGTCACTGCAGACTTCATCTCCCATCCTCAGCCTCTCTCTCTGGCCATGCTACCTGCCGTGGCTCCACCACCACCCGGCACTCTCTACCCCATGCCCACATCCCTTGTCGTTGCCCTCTCCTGGACATGACTTGCTGTCTATGCTTCCCCCATCCATCTGCCCCTGGACAACTGGGTCCCCACTTCTCCACTGCCACCCTGATCACTCTGGGCTGAGTGTTGGTGGCGGGGGGCAGTCCCCTGCATTATTCATCACCAACCCCATGCCTGATACACCCTCCCTCCCCTTCTCCCTGCAGCGCTGCAGTGCCCGGCCAACAGCCACTACTCCATCTGCACCCACACGTGCCAGGGATCGTGTGCTGGTGTCTCCGGCCTCACAGGCTGCACGGGCCGCTGCTTTGAGGGCTGTGAGTGCAACGACCGCTTCCTGCTCTCCCAGGGTGTCTGCATCCCCATCCAGGACTGCGGCTGCTCTGTGGACGGCCGATATTTGCCGGTGAGCCAGGGCCAAGTCACGCAGGAGGGTGGAGGAGCTGGATAGAGACTTTGAGTCTCTGAGTTGCTTCCCCTGGGACGGGGACAGAGGAGCCGTCACCTGCCCCAGCTGTGTGACCTGGTAACAGCATCTTGCTCGTTGGCTGCTGTGGCCAATCACCAAGGAAACGAAAGATAGAGAGGTAGAGAGGACACAGTTGGGGACACAGTGACATAGGCTAAGGCACTGGTCTTGCATGTGTGAGGCCCTGGGTTCCATCCCTGGCATGGAAAAATTTTTAAAAAAATAATAATAATAATAGGAGCCATAGTGATAGTACAGCAGGGAGGGCATTTGCCTTGCACAGGGACAACCCAGGTACAATTCCTCGGCATCCTGTATGGTCCCCTGAGCACCACCAGGAGTCATTCCTGAGTGCAGAGCCAGGAGGAAGCCCTGAGCACCTCCAGGTGGGGCCCAAAACCCAAAAATAAATAAGTAGTAGAGGTTAGAGAGATAGTACAGTGAGTAAGGAGCTTGCCTTGCATGCAGCCACCCCTAGTCTGAGCAGCATCAAGAATCATTCCTGAAGGTAGAGCCAGGAGTAACCCCGGAGCATCACTGGGTGTGGAAGCCCCCCAAAAATGATGATGAGAATGATAACCATAATGAAGGCCAAGCCATAAGAGGAAGGGGAAGGCAGTTTCGTCTGTTGGGCCTGCCCGCCATGACACAGCCTCCTTCCGCACACAGACCAACACCTCTCTGCTGAGCTCGGACTGCAGCAAGCGCTGCTTCTGCTCTGCCAGCGGCCTCCTGAGCTGCCAGGCAGCCGGTTGCCCACAGAACCTCACCTGTGAAGTCCAAGCCGGGTCCCGGGACTGCTGGGTCCCCCACGATCTCTGTTCCCTCTCCCCGGGCGGCAAACTCACCACCTTTGACGGCTTCAAAAACACCATCACCTCCCCCGGCGTCTATGAGGTGTCCTCCCGCTGCCCGGGACTCAAGGACATCATCCCCTGGTACCGAGTGCTGGCTGATGTCCACAGCTGCCATGACAAGCTGGAGGCTGTGCGCCTGGTACACGTCTTCTTCCAGGACGGGCTAGTGACCTTGACCCCCAGCAATGGCGTGTGGGTAAGTGTGGGTGCAGGCTGGTGGGGATGGGGGGCTGTCTCCCCCCTGCTACTTCTCCCCACATGGAGAGAAATGTCTATTCCATTTCACTCTCAAAGTTCTCCTTCAGCTTTCTGAGGTCTCTGAATTCATCTTTGTCTCAAGATTTCTAGCCCCACACATTGTCCTGCTGATTTTTTGTTTATTTATTTGGGGGCCACACCCAGCAATGCTCAGGAATCACTCCTGGTGGTGCTTGGGGGGCCATATGGGATGTTGGGGATGAACCTGGGTTGGACACATGAAGACAAATGCCTTACCCACTGTGTTATCACTCTGGTCCCTGCTCTGTTGATTTCTTTTCTTTTCTCTTTTTTATTTCCGTTTTGGGGTCACACCCGGGGATGCACAGGGGTTATTCCTGGCTCTGCATTCAGGAATCACTTCTAGCAGTGCTCAGGGGACCATATGGGATGCCTGGAATCGAACCCAGGTTGGCCGCGTGCAAGGCAAATGCCCTATCCGCTGTACTATCGCTCCAGCTCCTCTGTTGACTTCTTAAGAAGCAAAGGACAATACCCCAGGGCTGGAGGGATAGTAGAGGGGTGAAGGCACCTGCTTTCCAGCACTCAGCTGCTGGGCTTCAACCCCAGCACTGCTTATGGTTCGCTGAGCACCACCAGGAGGTAACACCTGAGCACAGAGCCAGTAATAGTCTCTGAGCACCACCAGATGTGGCCCCCAAATTTTTAAATTAAAGTGGAGGCTGGAGAAGTGGTACAGCAGGGTGGAAGGTGAATGTCCCCATTCAGTTGGCCTTGGACCAGCAGCTTCAGTTCCTTGTCACATGATCCTCTCTGAGCAGGTCACTCATAGTTTGACTGTTGCAGAAGTGAGGGATTCAAGAGCATGTGCACCCCCGACACACACGTGGAATTCCCTCACCCCCTTCCCCACCAACCAGTGTGTGGCTCTGGTTGACCTCAACTCTGTGCCCACCTCCCGCTCCCCCCAGGTGAACGGCGTCCAGGTGAACCTGCCTGCCAAGGTGCTGACATCTATCTCAGTGACCCGCCAGCCCGACGGCTCGATGGTGGTGCAGCAGAAGGGAGGAGTTCGGGTCCAGTTCCATCCCAGCGGGAAGCTGGATGTAATGGTCGGGCAGACCCATGCAGGCATGCTGTGCGGGGCCTGTGGAAACTTTGATGGGGACCAAGCCAACGACAAACCCCAAGACCAGACCTGGAGAGCGCCTGACTTCTCCTCCTGGTGAGGGTCCGGGGTGGGGGATCTGGGTCCACTTGGAGAGGGTGGAGGGAGTGGGGACCAGTGACCAGAGGAAGTGCTGAGTGTCTGTCTCTCACAGCTATGCCTGATCCGCTGGACAAGAGGACTTCAGGACGTGATCTCCCCGGACCCTGCGTCCTCACAGTCTTTCCCTTGTCCATAGTGTTTCCCACCCACCCCACCCCCGAGTGAGCCCCTCTGGCTGACTCAAGCATTCAATAAAGACTGTACACTGCCGATGTGCGTGGCTCATGCCTGTTCGTCCCTGACCTCCCTCCCAACTCAGCGAGTGCCACGGGCCTGGGGAATCTGACATGAGATCCGTTTATGGGAGGTGAGGGTGGATGCACGGCAGCATGGATGGCTGGAGTGGGGGAGGGCAGAGCGGGGGCAGTGGAAGATGATGCCAAGGGGAAATGAGAGGATGAACAGTTGGATGGAAGGATGGAGTAGGAGATGGAGAGATGACAGAGAAGTAGGATTTATCGCCGGAACACGTTCAGTTTTCCACTTCCAACCTCATATGTGTTCACAGCTTGAGCAGCTAGAACAATTTGCCGTAGAAATGACCAGGGTAGCATAGAAATGACCAGAATACAGGGGCAGAGCAATAGGACAGTGGGTAGGGCTCTTGCCTTGCACGTGGCCAACCCAAGCTCGCAATCCCTGGCATCCCATGTGGTTTCCCGAGTCTGGCCAGGAGTGATTTATGATGTCACAGAGTGAGAATTTTCCAAGAAGCCTTGAGTGCACTTGTCTGTCAAACTAAAGAGCCTTTAGTGACCAGCAGGGGCTTCCCAGCCTTGGAGCAACAGGCCCCATGTACTAAACAGCAGCAGAAGCTGGGTCCAGGCAAAGTGGTGTTTTTTTTTTGGGGGGGGGGGTTCACAGCCAGGGTTACTCCTGGCTCTGTACTCAGGAATTACTCCTGGCGGTGTTCGAGGGACAATATGGGATGCTGGGAATCAAACCCAGGTCGGCCACATGCAAGGCAAACACCCTACCTGCTGTGCTATCACTCCGCCCCCCAGGAAAAAATTTTAAACATTCCTTATCACATTCTGCTTGGCTCCATCAAGCAAATTTCTCATTAGCTAAAAAGCAAGCCAGCACAATTATGGTACAGAAGCCAAAGGTTATGCAGCTAGCTTTGAGTGGTTAATTGGGGGTAGGCAAATTTCCTTTAAAGGGGACAGTGAGGACAGTGGTGCAGGTTGTGTCCAGGGCATCCTGGCCCCTCACTGTGCTTCCCAGCTGTCAGCAGCCACCTACTTTTCTGCTAACTTGAACTTACTTCATTTCTCTGAGAGCAGAGCTAGGAGTAAACCTGAGCATTGCCAGGTATGGTCCCAAAAGCAAAATAAGTGAAATGCCCAGAATTCATTTCATTTTTCTTTTTTTCGGGAGGGGGGTGAGTCCACAACTGGTGATGCTCAGGGGTTATTCTGCACTCAGAATTACTCCTGGTGGTGCTCAGGGGATCATTTGGGATACCAGGAATCTAACCCGGGTCAGCCACGTGCAAGGCAAACACCTTACCCACTGTACTATTACTCCAGCCCCCAGAGTTTGTTTCTTAGGGCTCTGAAGAATAGGAAATCTAAGCGCTGGGATGGGGTTTCTTAAGGGGGCCTGGTTTCCCAACAGCCCTCTTTGGAACTGTTCCAAATATCACAGAAAGGAGAGAGAGTTCTCTGGAGCTTCTCACAGGGCACTAATCCTATTGTCGAGGGCACCAACTTCCTATGCTAGTCACCTCCCAAATGCCACCTTGGGACCATAAAGATAGCACAGTGGGTAGAGCACTTGCCTTACCTGTGGCTGACCTGGGTTCAATACCTGGAACTCCATTTGGTTCCCTGAGCCCTGATAGGAGTGATTCCTGAGGGCTGAGCCAGGCATAAAAAAGCCTGGAGTCAAAACCCAAAAACCAAAATGAAACAGAAAAAAGATGCTGAAAACACATGAGAATCAGGTTCTTCAAAGTACTGCACCGCAGCCTGCTGCCACCCTTTCATTCTGTTGTGGCATTGCACGGCCGCACACACTTCACTGTGCTACTTGCATATGCTGCTTGTAGTTCACTGGGTGGCACGTGATGCATTTGCATGCTTGCTCACCAACAATCCTCTTGACATACTGCTCACATACATCCAGCCCTCAGTGCTCCATGTGCTTGCTGGCAAGTGCTCTCCTTGCCCCGGGCTCACCCACCCTCTCACATTTGAGTGGTGGTGCTTGTGCGTGCCTGGTGGGAAGCTGGAGATCACACACTGTTGGGCTGCAAGGGGTCCCAGAGAGCCTCTGGGATTACCTGTGCATATACCTGACCCTGGTATGCACAGTATTTCTTGTCTCGTTTGGGGGCCACAGCTGGCAATACTCACGTTTATTCCTGGTGGTGCTCTGGGGGCCATATGGGATGCCAGGGATTGAACCTGGGTCAGGTTTAAGGCAAGCACCTTACCCACTGTATTATTTCTCCAGCCTTCCAGGTGCTTTTTTTTTAACTCAGTGAGAGTGGATGAGCCATCAAGGAGATAAACACAGATGGAAAAGGAGGTGATTAAGGCATAATCTCTGAATGAGCTGAAGTGATCGTATAGAGGGCAGAGTGCTTGCCTTGCCTGTGGTTGACCCAGGTTCAATTCCCAGCAACCCATAGGGTCCCTTCACCCCACCAAGGGTGATCCCTGAGCGCAAAGCCAGGAGTAAACCCTGAGCACCACCGGGTATGCCCCGCCCCACAATGTTCCCTGCAATATTATAAAATGAAGTGACCAAGACATGGAGGGGGCCAGTGCAAAACACAGAGGAAGTCAGCAAGAATGGCTGTACTAGGGGACTTAGGGGGGACACTGGGTAAAGATGAGATACATGAGGACCACGTGGAGAAGGCATAGTAAGCAAAAAGATGGACGTGACAGGCACTGTTGATGGCTGTGTAGGATGAGAATGGAACAGTGCAAAAGGGCTTACACTGTGGAGATTCAGACTTGTGAAAAGAGATCTGGTGGAGAGAAAACCCTAGGAGAAGAGGGGGCAGTAATCACAGTCAATTATTTCCCTGAGATTCTTGGTAAAGAAATCGGAGAAAGAATGCAGAGGGTAAGGCAAACATGCTTTGCCTAAAGCCAAGCCAGGTTTATCCGATTTATGTGTGTTCCTCCAACACACCACCAGGGGTCCTTCACGAGCAATGAGCCAGTAAAAGCCCCTGAGCATTGCAGGGTGTGACCCAAACTCACGCCCCTCGTCAAAATGGGCAAAGATAGAATGACAGTTGAAGAATGTGGAAGCCAAGAGAAGTTGTTTCCCAACAGTTGAGGGGTGCAGGGAGCCACACCTGACTGTTTATGGATTACTCCCGGCTCAGGGCTTATTGCTGACTCTGCCCTCAGGGATCACTCCTGGAGGGATTCAGGGAGCATATGATGGGGATCAAACCTGGTTGGCTGTGTAAGGCAAGTGCATTGCTGATGGTACTATCTCTCCAGCCATATAGCTGTGTATATGTGCTTATTGTTGTTGTTGTTGGTTGTTTAGGGCCACACCCAGTGGCACTCGGGTTACTCGGCTTATTCCTGGCTCTATATTCAAGAATCAGTCCTAGTGGGGCCAGGGACTGTTTGATGTGCCAGGGATGAAATCTGGGTCAAGGCAAGGTTTCTACCCACTGTACTATCACTTTGGCTCCAGGCCCTTATATTTATTTGTTTGTTTGCTTGCTTTGCTTCTGTTTGAGGGCCACAACTGGAAGTGTTCAGGGATTATTCTTGGCTCTGGGCTCACAGATGACTCCTGGCAGGGTTGGGGATTAAAATATACAGTGGAAGATGCACATTTTAAGAATAACTGGCTTAGGGGCCAGAGCGATAGCACAGTAGGTAGGGCATTTGCCTTCAATGCAACCGACCTGGGTTCAATTCCCAGCATCTCATACGGTCCCCAGAGCACCGCCAGGAGTGATTCCTGAGTGCATGAGCCAGGAATAACCACTGTGTATTGCCAGGTATGACCCTCCCCCCCCCAAAAAAAAATAGAATAACTGGTTTATCATAATGCCCATAAGTAGAGAGAAAGGGGGAAATTGTCTGCCATAGAAGAACGAAGGGGAGGATACTGGGGACATTTGTGGTGGAAAATGTACACTGGTGAAGGGATGGGTGTTCGATCATTGTATGACTGAAACTCAAACATGAAAATTTTGTAAGTGTAGCTTGTAGCTCACAGGAAGAAGAAGAAGGAGGAGAAGGAGAAGGAGAAGGAGAAGGAGAAGGAGAAGAAGAAGAACTGGTTTATAATGCCCAAAAGGGGGGAAAGGGGAGGGAGAGAAGAGAAGTGCCTGCCATAGAGGCCGATGGGTTGGGGGAAGGAAAACCGGGGCCATTGGTGGTGGGAAATGTACACCTGGTGAAGGGACTGGTGTTGGAACACATGACTGAAACCCAATCATGAACACCTTTGTAACTGTGTTTCTCACTGCAATTCAATTTAAAAAATAAAAGAATAAGGACAATGGGAAAAATAAAAATCTGATGCTTATAAAAAAAAAAAGAAGAACTAGTTTTGGACCGAAGCAGTAATATGGCAGGTAGGGCAATTGCCTTGCCCACAGCTGACACAGATTCGATATACATGTGGTCCTCTGTGCTCCACTTGGAGTGATCCTTGAGCACAGAGCCAGGAGGAAGCCTTGAGCACTGTGGGGTGTAACCCAAAAACAAACAAGCTAAGTGACTGGTTTTAAATAATGTGACCCCAGGCCTTACCCACACACAGAATATCACCACCATCTCTCCAGAAATTTCCTTCATGAATCCATGGGGCCCCTCCTGCTGTGGTAGTTTAAAACTGGGGGTGAGGGGGAAAGGGAACATTGGACGGGGATAATCTGAGAAGGGAAGCAGATGGAACAGTGGAACGAAAGAGAATGGCTGGGCATATTTCCCAGGGGGAGTGATAATGAGCCTCTCCCAGTGCTTCAACAGGAGTGGAAATGGCCAGGGGGTCAGGCAGGGCTGGGCGGGGGGCGCGACTGTGACACAATAGGATGCAAAACTGTGTCCCATACCTGTCACAGAGCTCCCATATCCCCTATCATTTCCTGGGTGCTAAGGGTGCTCCCAAAATCCTTTGCTCTAATATTTGGCTAGGGGTTTTGGGAGGAGGTAGAAAGAAGGGTTTCTAAGCAGGGGTGAGGGGGCAGGAATGATGGAAAGGGCTGGGAAGGGCTGTAGGGAAAGAATTTGCCTTCAAGGGACAGGGAAGGGTGGTTAGTGCAGGAAAAAAGGAAGTACTGAGAGGGGCAGGAAGGAGAGTACGGGGGTAGGGCACTTGCCTTGCACTAGGCCCAACAGGGTTCAGACCATGGCACCCCATATGGTCCCTGGGCTGGTGTGATCCCCTGAGTGTACAGCCAGGAATAACCCCTGAGCACCTCCAGGTCCAAAACTGGAGGAGGAGGAGGAGGAGGAGGAGGAGGAGGAGGAGGAGGAGGAGGAGGTGGAGGAGGAGGAGGAGGAGGAGGTTTACTATTTTATTTATTTAGTTGGTATTTACTTAGTATGTATTTATTTAGTTGGTTCACACCTAATGGTGCTCAGGGATTATTCCTGGTGGTGGTGGTGGAGGAGGAGGAGGAGGAGGAAGAGGAGGAGGAGGAAGAGGAGGAGGAGGAGGAGGAGGAGGAGGAGGAGGACGACGACGACGAGGTTTCCTATTTTATTTATTTAGTTGGTATTTACTTAGTATGTATTTATTTAGTTGGTTCACACCTAATGGTGCTCAGGGATCATTCCTGGTGGGCTCAGGGGACCATATCGGGTGCCTGGGACTAAACCCAGGTCATTTGTATGCAAGGCAACCACCCTACCTGCTGCATTATTGCTAAGCATTTAATGCCTTCTTGGTTACTGATTGGTTTTGGATCACACCCAAAATAGGTCCTGATGCTGTGTTCAGATCACTCCCTGAAGCCAGCTCTTTGGAGGATTGTGAGATGCTGAGGATTAAACCCCTGGCTTCAGCGCGGCCAAAAAGCACACACTCCAGCCTTCTGTACTCCGACCTACTTAAATCCTTACAGCATGTTTATTATGTACCCCTGCTGCCCCTGTTAGAAAATGGGCCCCTGAGAAGGTGGAGGTTTATTTGTTTTATGGTCTAGCTTACGGCTGTAAGATAAATAAATAGCACTGTATCACTGTCATCCAGTTGTTCATCAATTTGCTTGAGCGGGCACCAGTAGACTGGCTGTTACTGTTTTTGGCTTATCCAATATGCCATGGGGAGCTTGCCAGGCTCTGCCGTGCGGGCGGGATACTCTCGGTAGCTTGCCAGGCTCTCCGAGAGGGACAGAGGAATCGAACCTGGGTCCGCCGCGTGCAAGGCAAACGCCCTATCCGCTGTGCTATCGCTCCAGCCCAAGATAAATAATAAATAAAATAAATTAAAATAAATTTAAAATAAAAACTTTTTAAAAAAACCCTAAATTCTGAAAAAACTAAAAACCCTAATAAATTAATAAGTATAAAATTTAAAAACCTGATAGATTTATCGAGAACAAGGAATTGATCCGTGTTTCTGGGGATGGAAATAGACCAGGGAAGTCTTTGGAAGCCGTAAAAGTGTCTTCAGTAGGAAACAAGAGAATCCGGCCCTTGCGAAGCCTTGGCCAGGAATCTGGTGACTCGGGAGCTCATGGACAGCCGCGACAGCCACAGCGGTGACCCGGGATGAAATCGGAGGGGCGGGGCCTCCGGAGGCTCCGCCCACCGCGGCGGGCCGTACCGTGGGGCGGGGCTGCGGGGTGACGTCTCGCGCGCGCGACGTCGCTGCGCGCCTGCGCGCCGTCCCACGTGCGGAATCCCTAGACTCGTGTCTCCCCGGACGCCGCGCAGCTCCGTGCACGCCATGAAGCCAGGTACGGGCCGGGGTGGGGCAATCCGGGTCGGGGGCCTGGGTGGGAGTGGGGGTGCTCGGCCGCCGTGGGAGGAGTGGGGCGCAGCGGTGCTGCACCTACAGGGCTCCTGTCCCCGGTAGGGAGCGGGGCTTGCTTCTGCCCCTGACCGATCCTGAGCCCGAACCCGGGGGTTTTGGTCTGGAGATGTTTGATTTCCTTGGCTTCCGAGGTCACAGCCGTGAGTCGAGCTGCCTTGCACCTAGGATTTGCGGGAGGGGAGGCGCGAGGGGCCCGGATCGGAGTCGAAGTACTCACTGGGCGTTTTGAGGTGCTTCCTGTTCCCCTCGTGGGAGTCAGGGCTTGCAGCCGCAGGGCGTGGCTTTTGAGAATGTTTTGGTCCCCCGCGGGAGAATCCCAGACTTTGGCTCTAGGCGCTAGATCGGGGGCACCCCCCTTCATCTCCGCGTTTGCTTCCCCTGTCACTGCTACTGCCGGCGACCTCTTGACCCGAGCCCAGCTTCTCCACGCGGCAGAGTGGAGGGTTCACCCTCCGCCCCGCCTGCTGGTGCGTGGCTCCCGATGGCCCGCTTTGCCGCCCTCCTCTCTTCCCGAGGGGGGCGGGTCCCCGAGGAGAAGATAAGAGTTTTTATGATGAGAGTGGCTTTGTAGTTGGGAAATTGGCCCTCGCGCCCGGGATAGGTTTGGGCGGGAGCGACGTTAGTCCCGGCGCTGGAATGGTTCTGGAGTGGATTTTCCCCCTTGGGCTGGAGTGGTTCTATATTGGATTTTCCCCCTTGGGCTGGAATGGTTCTATATTGGATTTTCCTGGAGATTGTGATAATCCCACCTCGTGTCTCATGACAGAAAGGGGAGGCCTGATGTTTGACAGCTGAAGAGGCTCCTGAGTATTTATGGCTTCTAAGTATCAATGCTGGACTCTACTTACCAATCTGCTGTGTGACCTTGAGCAGATAGCTTTCCCTTTCTAATCCTCAGTTTCCCTAACCAAGAAAATAAAGTTAACCAGCTGTAGTTTAAGGGCAAAGTGATCATCTTTTTGCAGAAAGTGTAATGTTGTACTCTTCATACAATATGTCAGTTCTCTGAGAAAGCTAGAAAAAAATAGCACAGTGCTTGGCATAATACTGGCTTTTTTTTTTCAGGGGACCCAAATTAGATTCTTTTAATTTTTTTTCTAACACCACTCCTTGCACCCCCTCACTTGGAAAAGTCTTCTACTATGACCTGTCACTGCTACTACTGGTGAAAAGGGCCTTTTTTGTTTGTTTGTTTTTTGTGTTTTTGTTTTTTTGGACACCCCTGGCAGGGCTCAGGGCTTACTCTGGCTCTATGTTCAGGGATCACTCCTGGTTGGGCTCAGGGGACCATCTGTGGTACTGGGGATTGAACCTAGGTCAGCCCTGTGTGCAAGGCAAGTGCCCTATTCACTGTATTGTCCTTTGACCCAACCAAAATCAGTCCTGGAGGGTTTTTTTTCTCCTCTTGACTTGTGCCTGTGGCAAAATGGCTTCATCTGGGGGCATGGAGGTGGGGCAGTGGGTGTACTCATGAAGGGGATTTGGGTGAACCAGGCCCTTCCCCAGTTCCCTGTCTTCATTGTTTGGGGATCTTCTGATAAAAGTGCAGGTTGGACCTCCCCACAGACTACAAGTTGGGCCTCCATGTGGCCATGGCTGACAGACCGACACAGTTGGGACATCACACCCAGCATTGCTCAGGGCTGACTCCTAGCTCTGTGTCCAAGAATCACCTCTAACAGGGTTGGAGAACCACATGCAGTGCAGGGGACTCAACCCACGATTTTCTTTGTCCACTGTCCTATCTCTATTTGGAAGCGGAGGCTACTGTTTGTGGTGGAAGGAGGAGGATTTGGATGTGTAGAAGGAGGACTAGGGTGGAGTTGTCTTTGGGAGCGATAGTTTGGGGTGACGCCTGGTGGTGCTCAGGGCATCGTGTGGTTCTGGTTGCTAAACCTGGGCCTCCCACATGAGAAGCCAGCAGTCAGCCCCTTGAGCTATTCCTCAGCCAGTTTTTGAGATGGGGAAGCCCAGGTTTTAAATGAGAACGAACCAAGGAACCCACACCCAGCACTCCTGTGTGAGACTGGGGTGCGGTAGCTTTTCCGCAATAGAAGGGGGGTGCTCAGAAACGGGGTGCCTGGCCGTGCGTTCATGTGTATCTTCAGGTTTGCTGATGGATATTTACAAGTCTTGGAGGTGGGTGCTGCAGGATCTGTCTTACAATGTGGTCAGGGTGACCCGAACCTTTGCCCATGTATGTGGCCTCTGAGTGCTCCCCCCCACCCCCACCCCATTGCACCTCCAGTTATCTGCCTTCAGAGTGAACAAGGGACTTTAACCAGGGGTAGAACTCGGGGCTTACAAGTCCCTGACAGCTCAATGGCACCTGTACTTGGGCCAGACACCCTGCAGGCCCAGTAGCCCTCCATGGCGTGCTGAGCTTGGTTCCTGCAGGAGAGGTAGACTGGCCATACTGTGCCTGGGGCCTGAGAGATGGTTCTGGGGATCAGGTGCTTTTACCTGGCATGCATCGCCTTAAGCACAGAGCCAAGAGGCAGCCCCTGAGCACTGCTGGGTGTGGCCCAAAAAGCCAAACAAAATCACCCTGTCTGATCATTGACAGAAAACAAATATCAGCACAGGGGGACAGGAGGACCCCCCAAAAAGGCCCTTCTGAGGGAGGAACATGTATGCACCTTCCAGGCAGGCGGTTGGGACAGCAGAATTTGGAGAGGGGTAGGGGTGGGGATTATCTTGGGGGGATGCAACCTGCAGAGAAGTGGGGGTGGGGGGATGCAGCTGGACTTTGACTCCCATACAGAACCTTTCCTGCCCGCCCCCCGCCAGTTGATATTTTTTTTTTAGTAGGTGAAGGGTAGCATTGTCACTGCAGTGTCCCCGAACACACACACTTGGTGGCAGTGTCCTGACAATCGTACACAGGTTGCATATGTGTACACATACACACACAAGAGCGTATGCTCTACCCCAGAATTCCTAGGTGCCTGGAGTGGGGCCAGGGAGCCATACTCCTCCGCATCCCCACAGAGGGTCTTGGAAAAATACCCCCCCACCTCGGTGTCTTTTTGGTTTCATTTTTTCACGAGCTGAAGGGAAGATTTGGGCTGCAGTGCCGGCTGCAGGCAGCAGAGGGCGCGGTGGCTGGGAGGGAAGCCAGACCCGCCCCGCAGGGCCTGGGCACCTTCAGCTGAGCTGATGATTCCTCGCTCCAGGGAAGAGAATCCTTGGCACCAACTGAGATCAGAACCAGCTTTCATACTTATGGAGCTCACGGGATTATTATTTATTATTATTATTATTATTATTATTTGGGAGGGGGGGCTGGAGCGATAGCACAGCGGTAGGGCGTTTGCCTTGCACGCAACCAACACGGCCGACCCGAGTTCGATTCCTCCGCCCCTCTCGGAGAGCCCGGCAAGCTACCGAGCAGTCTTCAATACGCCAGACACAGTAACAACAAAGTCTCCAATGGAGACGTTACTGGGCCCGCTCGAGCAAATCGACGAACAACGGGAGGGCCTTTACCTTTACCTTTACCTTATTTGGGAGGGAAGGGATATTTAAAACTATCCGCCCAAAAATGTATATATATAAACAAAAATGTATAAAACAACCAAAAAATTCAAATACGGACTCTATTCCCTCCAGGAAAATTGTCAGCTTTGAGCAGTGTATGAAGGGTGGTACTCGATCCTAGTGTAATGCAAACAGTCTCTCCCTGGGCTCTTTGTTTGGTTTGATTTGGGGGTTTGCAGTGGGAGGGGCTCAGGGATGGGTTCTGGTAGTCAAAGGTTCTGGGAATCAAAGTAGAGTCGCATCCCCCCACCCCCACTTCTTTGCAGGTTGCACACCCCCCCAAACAGTCCCCACCCCTACCCCTCTCCACACCCCTGAGGTGCTGCAGGGGACATATGGGGTACAGGGGGGGTCGGACCGTGTCTGCCACCCGCTGCCCGCTTGCTGCGCCCCAGTTTCTCTTGTCTGCACCGGGAGCACCGCTTCCTTGTGGACCAGGAAGCTTGCCAGCTGCCTGGCCAAGCTCGGGGCACCCCTCCGACGCCCCACGTGCCGGGACCCTGACCCCTTCTCTGCTTCCCTGCAGGGTTCAGCCCCCGTGGGGGCGGCTTCGGGGGCCGCGGGGGCTTTGGAGACCGAGGAGGCCGCGGTGGCGGCCGAGGGGGCCGTGGGGGCTTCGGAGGCCGCGGCCGTGGGGGCGGCTTCCGAGGAGGCCGAGGCCGTGGAGGTGGAGGACGAGGTGAGTTGGGGGTGACGGTGGGGAGAGGGGTGCGGGGAGGGCTGGGGTCTCCCGCTCACGGCCCTCTCCCCGCCCACTCCCGTGCAGGTGGCGGAGGCGGTCGCGGGGGCGGCGATGGTGGGTTCCAGCCCGGCGGGGGCAACCGAGGCCGCGGCCGGGGTGGAAAGCGAGGAGGCCAGTCGGGCAAGAACGTGGTGGTGGAGCCGCATCGGCACGAGGGTGAGTGACGGGGGCAGAGAGCCCGCCCAAGTCCTTGGGAAGGTGGGGGCGCCCAGCCCTCATCCCGCTTCTGCTCCCCTCCCCCAGGGGTCTTCATTTGCCGAGGGAAGGAAGATGCTCTGGTCACCAAGAACCTGGTCCCGGGAGAGTCGGTGTACGGAGAGAAGAGAGTGTCCATTGCAGTGAGTGCAGGCTCCCTGTGTCCCGTCCACAATCCCGCCCCCCCCCCCCCCCCCCCAACGGCCCAGACAATCCACCAGGCCCTCTGACTTTCAGGTTCCAGGCCCACATCTAGGGTGTGGCGGGAAGACCCCACACTAGCTCACTATCTGGTGTCCCCCCCCCCCCCCCCCCCCCCCCACACACACACACTCACTTTCCTGGTCAGACTCTGCTTCCTTTCTTCCTGATTCCTGCTGGTAAGGCTGGGGGGATAGTCAGGGGACCAGCCCCTCTGCTCCTTCCTATCGGCCCCCATCTCCTCCTCTGCTTCTCGGGGCACATCCTGGCGCCTGCCCGTCTCCCGCTTCTGTCCTTCATTGCCTCTTTCTGGACCAGTCGCTCCCAGGGGCAGAGGGGCTGGCACACGGATTGTGCCGCCATCGTCAGTGCTTGTCCAGTGGACCTGTTGGTCTTCTGGCCACTTGGTTTGTCTGTCACGGCCCCTTTTCCCCTGAGTCATGAGCACACGGGCGCTGCACCCCTGTTGGGCACTCCGCCTTCCCCTCTAGGACCATGATAGAGGCCTCAGCTCCTCTTGGCGGGACTCTTGCAGCAGAGCTCCACCGCTGACGGCCATCCCCATCTCTCCCCATCCAGGAAGGAGACGACAAAGTCGAGTACCGGGCATGGAACCCCTTCCGCTCCAAGTTGGCAGCAGCCATCCTGGGAGGTGTGGACCAGATCCACATCAAGCCTGGGTGCAAAGTGCTCTACCTGGGCGCTGCTTCAGGCACTACTGTCTCGCATGTCTCTGACATCGTAGGGCCGGTGAGTGGAATGGGGGGGATGCGGGGCCCAGCCCTGCCCGCTCTGGGGTGTCTTTGAGGAACAGCTGGAGCTTGGACCAGCTGATTGCCGAAGTTGCCAGAGCTTCCTCCAGCATCCTCAGGCCCGAGGGTCAGGGGGCCTCAGGGTTAGAGGGTCCCGGAGCTGAGACCAGAGACCCCAGCCTGTTGGTTGGACACATGTACCCCCAAATCTCGGCCATTGGTTTCTCCTGAAAGAACAGAAGGACTCAGCTTTGTGCTGTGTCCATGCCCTGTACTGAAACTCTTGGGTTTTTGGCTCCTTTTCTTTGGGTTTTGGGGCCACACCCTGCAGTGTTCAGGGCTTGGAGGTCACTCCTGGCACAGCTTGGGGGACTAGATGTGGTACCAGAAATTGAACCCAGGTTCTTCATGTGTAAGCAAGCGCTCTAGCTGCTGTATTGACTCTCTTAGAGGACCCAGACCTCTTCTCTCTGTGACTGGGCCATTTGCTTTATTATTTTATTTTGGTTTGGGGGTGCAGGGTGGGGGTTGGGTCACACCTGGCAATGTTCAGGGGTTACTCCTGGCTCTGCATTCAGCAGTCAGGGCCATACAGGGTGCCAGGGATCAAATCTTCATTGGTCGAGTGCAAAGCAAACGCCGTTTCTGCTGTACTATATCTCCGGCCCCCTGGGCTGTGTGCTTTGGTGACTGGGGGAAAAACCCCAGCTCTGGTGCAGGCCTTTGAGAATAAAAGAACCAACTGTGAGTTTCTTGACCTCCTTGGAAGGGCTGAGAGTTAATTTCCCGAAAGCCCTTGGCGCTGTGCCTGCCCCCTGCAGGGTCTTCCTCTGTGTGTGTGAGTCTGACTCAAAACCTGCATTGCTCTCCTGGACTCTTGGAGCATGCAGAGTGAGATTGAAAAACCTTTGGCCAGGCAGGCAGCTCACTGCTTTGAACGTCCATGTATAGTCTCCTGTAAAACAGACTCCGTAAGACCCAGCCATCCCAGCCGCACCCAACGCCAGCATGAATGCTCGGCTGACCTGTCTCCCTTCTTCCGGTGTGTGATCTGGGTGTTTCAGGAAGCGCTTTGGTTTCTTTCAGGATGGTCTGGTCTATGCAGTTGAGTTTTCCCACCGCTCTGGCCGGGACCTCATTAACTTGGCCAAGAAGAGGACCAACATCATTCCGGTGATTGAAGATGCCCGGCACCCGCACAAGTACCGCATGCTCATCGGTGAGGCCCGGTGGGGCAGGCCAGGCTAGTCCGGGCTTCCTGAGGACCACGCAGCCCCTTGGCCCGACACGCAAGCCTCAGAGTCTGCGGAGATGAGAGGGGTGACGGAATCACTCTCCGAACTCCCAGCCTATTCCCCAGCTCCCCTTTACTCTAAGGCCTGCTTGCGTGTCCTGGGCCTGTGTATAGTTTAAAAGCCTCTTTTGGGGCCTGAGCGATAGTACAGCGGGTAGGGCATCTGCCTTGCGTGTGGCTGTTCCGAGTTCGATTGCTGGCATTCCATATGTCCCCTGAGCATCGCTGGTGTCACCCACAAACAAAAATGAAAGGGCCTCTTTCACGATGCCTTAACAAGTACAGCAGAACCCAGAAAACAGGAGTGGAATATAGTATGCCCTTCAGAGGAGCCCAAGTGAAGATTAGAGTAAAAAAATGAATTGAAAGCATAAGAGCAGCACACTACCCCACACCTGTAACTGGAACATTTTGATGCCTGAGTGATCCCTGTGAGTAGAGCTGGGAGTTAGCCCTGAGAACAGCACATTCCTTTGTATTCTTTTTATGTTTTGTGTTGTTGAGAGGAGGGGTCAGCCCTGCAGTGCTCAGGGGTTACTCCTGGCTCTGCACTCAGGGATCACTTAGGGCCATGCTCAGAGGGTCGAACCCAAGTCGGCCACATGCAGGGCAAGCACCTTAGCCACTGTACTTTTTCTCTTTGGCCCAAAATTCCTTTGCATTCTCAGGTTTTCTTTCCCTCCTGTTTTCCTCCTTAGACCCAGCCTACACCCTTTGTCCTGCAGCCCGTGATTGACAGCCCTGCAGGTGCTCTGGTCTGGACGTGCTCACCGGCTCACTTTTTTGATGACAAATCTGTCTTGCCGCCAGACCAGGGCGTGGGCTCAGGGCAGAGTCCATTGGGTCTGGTTTGTGTCTATTATTATCCCACCCGGGACTGGCCACAGAGTAGAGTCACCTAGTTTACAAGAGGAGTGAATGCATAGTGTGGGGATTGGGCCCATCTTGGAGAGGCACCATGGGGGTGGGGTGCCTGTCAAGTAGTGGGAGCCTGGAGGCAGGGAGAACGTGGGGAACCCGCTGGGGCGGACTGGGAAGTTCCCATGGGCCCAGCTTTCAACTGCCACTAATTTTTCCCTAGCAATGGTGGATGTGATCTTCGCCGACGTGGCCCAGCCAGACCAGACCCGGATTGTAGCCCTGAATGCCCACACCTTCCTGCGGAATGGAGGACACTTTGTGATTTCCATCAAGGTGCGGGCCTTGGGGGAGTGCTTTTAACTGTCAAGCAGTCAGAAGCTAAGGATCCTCCATCTCCCTGCCTTCCCCCAAACCAGTTTGGTCCCTTCTAGCCTTTTCCTCCTCTACTCCCTCTGTCCACCTCCTGTCAGTCAAATAGACGCTGATGGCAAAGGTCTGCCAAAACGAGCAGCTTTGGATTGAAACAAGCTGAGAACATGGTGGTCAAATTCATGATCTGTGGGTCTGGCCAACTGTTGGGTCTCACCTGGCAATGCACAGGGATTACTCTTGGGTCCTTACTCAGGGGTAACTTCTGAGAGTGCTCAGGGGACCATATGTCATTGAACCTGGGTCAGCCTCTTGAAAGGCAAGCACCTTGCCTGTTGTACTATTACTCCTGGCACCTGGCCAACTGAATTTGAATCCCATCTTGCTGTGTCAAGTGTGATCAAGTGACTTGTGTCAGTCTTTAAAGTACAAAGTAGAAATGATTTTTCTTCTCTGTTGATGCAAAGGGTACGTCTATCAATATATGTAAAATGTTCAGGACAATCTGGTATAGAATATAACTATCTAAACGATAGATGCAATTTTGGAGAGGGTGGGGTGGGATGGGTATTTGTTTTGAGGGCATACCTAGTGTGCTGTTTTTGAGGGGTCACTCCTGGTGGTGCTCAGAGAACCTTGGGGAGTTGGAGATTGAATCCAAGACATCCATTAAACTATGTACACATGCATTAAGGCATGTACAACTAGTACATCCATTTTTTAATCTCATTTTGAAGTTCAAAGCTTGGCCAGAGTGATAGTATAACAGGTTGAGTATTTGCCTTGCACATGACTGACCACCCCACATAGTTTCCTGAGCCTGCCAGGAGTGATGGTCCTTGAGTGCAGAGCCAGGAGTAACGTTACCCCGAGCAACTGCTGGGTGTGGCCAAAAACAACCGACTAGAACTCTCCCTGTACCCATCAACCTTATTCACCACTCGCTAGCCTTTTGCTCCATTTATTTTAGTAGCCACGGCCTTACAATTATTGTTAGTGGAGAGGACATAGAGTGGAGAAAAGAAAGTTTAACCAGAGGCATGTAGTTGACTTAGGAGCGACTTGAAACTACTAGTCCAAATCCAAGCCAAAGTAGAAGCCAGTGAATCCCTCTGCACGTGCTTGAGCTTGGGGCAAAGCGAGGCCTTTTGGTGCAAGACAGAGCAGGACAGAGCGAAGCCGCACTGCACCGCACTACAGGCTTGGCTCGGCCCTTCTCTCCTGTGCAGGCCAACTGCATCGACTCCACCGCCTCGGCAGAGGCCGTGTTTGCCTCGGAAGTGAAGAAGATGCAGCAGGAGAACATGAAGCCCCAGGAGCAGCTGACCCTCGAGCCCTACGAGAGAGATCACGCGGTGGTCGTGGGCGTGTACAGGTGAGCAGGGAGGCTTGTGTCCCCCTTTGTCCCCAACCGCGGGGCTGCCCTGCTCCAAGGCGTCTGCAGGCGCTGACTCCCCCTCCTCGCCTTCTTCCGGCAGGCCCCCTCCCAAGGTGAAGAATTGAGGCCCAGCGCCATCCGGATTCTGAGATTGTGTTGCTACTGTTACACGTGTGTTTTTATATTAAAAGACTCCTCCGTTTGCCCTGTCTGCTGCTGATTTGCTTAGCGACCTGGGTGACCCGCGCGGTGGTGCGGGGCTGGGCTCCTCGGCTCCCCCGCCCCCCCTTCCCCGGGACGCGCGGCCGGCACGGCGCATGCTCTCTGCTGAGCGGCCGCTGGCGCAGCCGCGAACCGGATTTCCGCGCTCGGGCGGGGCCGGCAGCTCGCCGCGCATGGGTGCCAGCGGGCGCGGCGCCGCGCAGGCGCGGAACGCTATTCGGGTCACGTGGGCGGGGCCGTGGGGGTGGGGACGGGGGCGGAGTCTGGGCGGGGGGGCCGGTTTGTTGTGGTCGCCATTTTGCTGGTTGCATTACTGGGTAATCGGGCCCTGGCTCGTCGCGTCCGTCGGATCCCCTCAGCCAGCGGGCAGGTCTGAGCTCGGGCTTCCCGAGCGGCTGGAGTCCCCTCGCCCGCGCCCTCAGGTAACGCCGCGGCTGCCGGGCGAAGCGGAGTGCGGTCGCGGGGAGCGGGGCAGTACGGGGACCCGCCCTGGCCGCGGCGCCGCGAGACTTAGCACGAGGCGGAGGGGGGCGGCGGGCAGGTGCCGGCAGCGCCCGGTTATTCATAGTCGGATTCCTGGAAGGGGCCAAGCCCAGGGGAGCGATCTAGGGAGGGGTCTGGGAGGGGGTAGCGGGCCCCGCTCCCGCCCTTTGTTTGGGCTCGGCTCCGCTGGCGCATCGCCGTCGCCTAGCAACAGCTGCCCCGGACGGTGATTGGCTGAGCGCTTGGCGAGCGCGGCCAATGGCGCGGTTGTTGCCATGGCAGGTGTGGACTGCCGGGCTCGCTCGGGCCCCGCCCGCCAGCTCTCGGCCGGCCGGGGCGGGCCTCCAGGGCGGGGGGCGGGACGCTGGGGTCCCCGGGGGCGGGTGGCTGCGCGGGGCGGGGCGGCGGGGCGAGGGTTAACCCGCCCCTCCCCCGTCCACCTGCTTTCCCCCTTCCCCCGCGTGGCCTGGGCTGACCCTCGTCCCCTCCTCTCCCCGCCCCCGGCGGCGGCGGCGGCGGCGGCGGCGGCTGCTGTTGTCACCCACCGGCCGCCTGTCCCGCTTGCCCTCCCCGCCGCGGGGCTTGCCGGGCCCGCCGGGCTGGGACAGGCGGCAGTGTCTCCTCTCCGCTGCCACCGCCGCCATGCTGGCCGCTCGCCCACCCCACTGGGGGCCCCACCGCGCCCCAGCCCCCCGTGGGCCCCGCGCCAGCCTTGACCCGGGTAGGGGGTGGGCGCCGGAGAGAGGGTCCTGGTGTGGGAGGCTCCCGGGAAGAGGGGGGCAGGAGGGGAGCTCCAGGAGAGAGGAGGGGTGTCAGACCGGCCTGGGAGAAGGGGGTCTGGCATGGAGTTTGTTGGGGCGGGTAGGCGGGAGGGACTGCTATGTGAGACCGAGGTTGGCTCTGGGGGCCTTCTAGGAACGGGCACCGCTATGGCGTGACCCCCAGGTGAAGAGCCACCAGAGAGAGGGGCCGCCTGGGAAGAGTGGATGGAGGGGTCTGGGGCTCAGATCCGCTGAGGGGCGAAAGGACCATCCCTTTAAACTTTGCCCTGCACCTGCCAGGCTGGTTGGGGCTGGTCGGTGGCAAGGGGACCTTGGAGTAATGTGGGTTAACAGCTCTGATGAGACCATGGGGGGATTGGGACAGGGTAGGGGGCAAACCCCGCGGAAGGGTGGGTACTCAGGAGAAAGAGAGGAACTGGGCATGATACGGGGAGGAGGCCCCTGGGAATGATGAGCTAGGGCTGGTATAGGGGTTCTCATAACCTTGGTGTGTTGCTGGTCCCCAAGGACCTTGATGTGTTTGGGGGGACCAGTATAAGATAGCTGTGGTTTGGAGGGGGCACAGAGGACATTTCTATGGGTGGGGGTGGGGTGCGAGGGAGCTGCTGCTGAGAGAGGGGAGCCAGGAGTCAGGCTTGCATGTGAGGGGGCACCCCACTCCCCGTGCCTTGGAGGTGTCCGTCTCTCCTTCCCTTCTCCTGATGAATGTCTTTTTGTCCTTTGCTGTCCTGCCCCTTGTCTCCGCCCGGCTCCCCTTCTGTGCTGTCTCCATTGACTTGGTGATCGTTCCTTGAGGATACACACTGTGCCCCCCACCCCACCCCTGTCCCCTCTCTTCAAGGCCACCTGTTGTACCTCTTCCCTTCCTCCGCCCTGCCTTCTCTCGCCTGCCCGGCACTGCCCCTCACGTCCCCTTGTTTTGTGTCTTCCTGCCCTCTTGCAGGTCTCAGCGGCGGTGGCAGCCGAGGTGCAGGATGCGAGAAGGCGCCCCCCGGCCGGGCTCCCGCTCCAGGCCTCGCTCCCCTGCGGCCCTCTGAGCCCACCATGGCCGTTCCTCAGGGCCATGGTCCCTTCTCTGGCTTCCCCGGGCCCCAGGAGCATACACAGGTACATGTGGAAGCTGGACTGCTCACTCCACTTGGGATAGAAGGTTCTGGGTACCAGGAGAGGGAGTGGGGGCCTAGGACAGTCCTCTGTGGGTGCGGAGGGTCCCGTGAGAGTGGAAGAGAGTTGGGATTGGCAGATAGGGCCCGGCTGGAGAGCCTGCCCTCGGGTCCTAGGAGGGCTGGTTCAACGGCTTAGGTTTTCCAGGCATCTGTTTCTCTTTGGGAGAACTGAGCCAGGAGTGACAGCTCCCTGCAGGGCCACTGTGAGGGCACAGTGAGCTGCTGGATATGGGTCCTGGCACACAGCAAACTCATGGCTGGTCCCCAAGAGAAAAGTCTAGCTTAGAAGGTGGAGGCAGTGGGAAGGCGCATGGTGGAGCCAGCAGGGAACAGTGTCTGGATTTTTGAGTGTAGCGACTGTTGAGTTGAGGCTCTGAAATGCAGAGCTGGGAGCTGGTCCACTGCGGGGCCCAGGGTGCTGGATTTACATCTGAGACCCCGGGTACGAAAACTGGGCAGAGAGGCTTGGTGTGTGTGGGGAAGGGCTGGGAAGACCCCAAGGGGTGAAGAGAAGACAAGGGGATGATGACCTTAAGGTGATGGGATACCCAGAATGGATGGCATTAGGGTGGAAGGGTTGGTGGAGGCAGGACCCAGATTTCCCCCACAGTACCTCCCAGTTTTCACTGAACTTCAGAGAAAAATAAAGGAACTAGAGCCGCCTGCCCAGGCAGATCATTGGTCCCATCGCTCACTCAGCAGATCTTTTGAGGAACCCCTGTCCTGTGCAGGCCCTGCACCAGGTGCCGGATATACAGCCAGGAGGCACTGTCCCTGCCCATAGGGACCGTCTGATGTAGGGGAGTCAGTGAGCGGATGAATCCATAGTGGAGAGTGAGGAACCCATGGAGTTGGCCCCTGTAGATCAGAGAGGAAGGCCTGTCCACAGTGTCTACCGCTAACCCTGTCCCAGGTATTGCCCGATGTACGGCTACTGCCACGGAGGCTGCCCCTGGCATTCCGGGATGCGACGTCAGCCCCGCTGCGCAAGCTCTCTGTGGACCTCATCAAGACCTACAAGCACATCAATGAGGTGTGCAGGGTGCAGGGGAGCCCGGCCGGGGGGCTAAGGGGCTCGGCTGCGGGCTCTGGTTGCTCACCGCTCCCCATCTCCTGGCTGGCCGGCGGGGCAGGTTTACTATGCGAAGAAGAAGCGGCGGGCCCAGCAGGCCCCACCTCAGGACTCGAGCACCAAGAAGGAAAAGAAGGTCCTGAACCACGGTTATGACGACGACAACCACGACTACATTGTGCGCAGTGGCGAGCGCTGGTTGGAGCGCTACGAGATCGACTCGCTCATCGGCAAAGGCTCCTTTGGCCAGGTGTGGTGACCCAGGGCCCTGCTGACTGTGGCCCACACAGCGGGGTGGGGGGTGGGGGGACTGGCCCCGGTGCTCAAGATCCTGTGGCCATTTGTTCATTTGTTCAGTCCCTGCCCTGTGTGCACTCCGCAGCCAGACGCTGGGGAAGGCGCCGTTTGAATCAGCACCCCTGAGCGGGGCCTGGCGTGGGGAGGAGAGGGGGCTCCGCCCTGCCCTCCTTCTCCCCTTGCCTCACGGGGCCCTGGGTCCTGCCCTGGCAGGTGGTAAAAGCCTACGATCATCAGAGCCAGGAGCTGGTGGCCATCAAGATCATCAAGAACAAAAAGGCCTTCCTGAACCAGGCCCAGATTGAGCTGCGACTGCTGGAGCTGATGAACCAGCACGACACGGAGATGAAGTACTACATAGGTGAGGCCAGGCCTCAGGCGGAGTGGGACGGACCCCACCCCCAGGCGGGCGCTGTCTTCAGGGCAGGGCATACACTGTGCTTCCCTGGCCTCAGCAGTTCTGCCACCTGTACCTGACCCACCGGGTTCACATGACAGCGCTGGTCAGAGTTTCTGCAGAGCCTGCCAAGGCCAGGCTTCCTATAAGTCTGCTTAGGCAAAGGGCCTTTCTGCAGCCCCTGGGGGCGGGGCGGGGGCCTCCCAGACTCCCCTGACAGTCACTTGCCTAGAGTCATCATCAGGAGAGCCCCACTGTCCATCCTTTGTCCGGCAGTACCTTCCAGAGTCTTATTACTCTTTGGGTTTTTTCCCCGTCTATATCGAGTCCTCTTTTAAATAAAAAAGCAAATGGATTTAAAGAGTGCTTGCTTTAGAGTATAGCAGGCTGGAAAAGTACTACAAATGGAGTTGGGGTTAGGCGGGGAGTCCATTGGGACCCTGGGAAATCCTGGGAAGTGACCACTTGGTCAGAGACCAGAGTAGCCTGTGAGCATGGGGCGGCTGTGTGCGCTGACCCTTGCCCCGGGCCCCTTCCCTCAGTGCACCTGAAGCGGCACTTCATGTTCCGGAACCACCTGTGCCTGGTGTTCGAGCTGCTCTCCTACAACCTGTACGACCTCCTGCGCAACACGCACTTCCGTGGCGTCTCGCTGAACCTGACTCGGAAGCTGGCCCAGCAGCTCTGCACGGCGCTGCTCTTCCTGGCCACACCCGAGCTCAGCATCATCCACTGCGACCTCAAGCCCGAGAACATCCTGCTCTGCAACCCCAAGCGCAGTGCCATCAAGATCGTGGACTTTGGCAGCTCCTGCCAGCTTGGCCAACGGGTGCGGGGCCTCAGGGCTGGGCGGGGCCCTGGTGGAAAGGAGGGACAAAGCTTTGGGTGGGGAGGGCGTGACCCCCGCAGGGCTAGAGTTGGGGTGGGGGGCGGTGGGGAACAGTAGATACACAACCAGGGGGGAAGGGCAGCAGGAGCCTGAGGAAGCTGGGCCCACGCTGGCCAGGTGAAGGTGGGTTGGCGGTTTGGCTTTGAGCCTGCCACCGCCCTTTGCCAAGTGTTTATTCTTGGCACATAAAACTAGAGATAGGCTGGGGGCTGGAGGGGAGCACTTCAGCTTTGCTGAGACATTTCAGAGGGTGACGGAAGTAGCTTGGAAGGAGTCTGGAATGGGCAGGAGGGTGGGGCCATGGCTGCAGGCTGTCCCCCTCTGCCGCCTGGGTTCAGGCTAGGCCGGCAGAGGACCCAGCGGCTAAGGAATTGCAAGTGGTGGTGATTCCAGACAGTGAGTGCAGTGACTCCAGGATGGAAGCTCCAACCTCCAGTGTATGCAGGAGGAAGAGGAGGGTCTCTGGGTCTCCTAGCCTCCAGGGAGTTGGCGGCACCTCTCAGGGAGGCCAGGGTTTCTGACCGCTGCCCCTCTCCTCCCCCAGATCTATCAGTACATCCAGAGCCGTTTCTACCGTTCTCCCGAGGTGCTCCTGGGCACGCCCTATGACCTGGCCATCGACATGTGGTCCCTGGGCTGCATCCTTGTGGAGATGCACACCGGGGAGCCCCTCTTCAGTGGCTCCAATGAGGTGTGCTCCCAAAGAGGGGTGTGTGCTGGAGGGGGTGACGCCGGGCGGGCCCGACCACCCTGACCACCTGCCTGCTCGCAGGTGGACCAGATGAACCGGATTGTGGAGGTGCTGGGCATCCCGCCAGCCCCCATGCTGGACCAGGCCCCCAAGGCTCGCAAGTACTTTGAACGGCTGCCTGGGGGTGGCTGGACCCTACGAAGGACAAAGGAACTCAGGAAGGTGCGGCCCCCGCCCCGTGCCGCTCCTCCTACCCTGGGTGCCCCTCACTCTCTCACACTTGGGGCTCCCTCTCTCCCCGCTTCCTCGCCCTTGTGTCTTTCCCGTCCTTCCTCTCCCCCTCCTCGGCCTTTGCCTTCCTCCCCTCCCCACCCCGCCCTCCTACCCCCTCCCCGACTCTGAGCTTCTCTCTCCACTTCCTCTCTTGTGCCTCTGTTTCCCCGTGTGTGTCTCCCTGCCCCTCCTGCCCACTGACGGCCACTCTCTTGCCCCCCCCTCCCACCCCCTCCCTGCCAGGATTACCAGGGCCCCGGGACACGGCGGCTGCAGGAGGTGCTGGGCGTGCAGACGGGCGGGCCCGGGGGCCGGCGGGCGGGGGAGCCGGGCCACAGCCCCGCCGACTACCTCCGCTTCCAGGACCTGGTGCTGCGCATGCTGGAGTATGAGCCCGCCGCCCGCATCAGCCCGCTGGGGGCCCTGCAGCACGGCTTCTTCCGCCGCACTGCCGACGAGGCCACCAACACGGGCCCGGCAGGCAGCAGTGCCTCCACCTCGCCCGCACCCCTCGACACCTGCCCCTCCTCCAGCACCGCCAGCTCCATCTCCAGCTCTGGTGGGTGCCCAGTGCCAGAGAGGGGAGCATGGGGGCGGCACAGCTCTGCTGCGGCCTGACCCGGGAAATCTAGTTGATGGGGCGACACTGCCCCCCAAGGTGGAGGCCAGGGGCCTTGGCAGATGTACAGGCCAGCGGGGACTATAGCTCAGGCGCAGCTAGGGAGGCACTTTCTGTTTGCTCGCGTAGAGAAGGTAGAGTTCCAGGGGCACTGCTGTTTTTCCCGAGAAGAGAACGGTAGGTTCAGAGTAGGGGATGCCCTGAGCAGCCGAGCGGGCTGGGACAAGCGAGCTCTCTCACCCTGTCTCCAGAAGGGAGCCTGGCTCAGATCCACAGCTGGTTGGTTGCACCTCCAGCCCCCACAGCCCATCTCTGACCCCGTGTCTCAGGATGAGGCTCCGCCCCTTGAAAGTGCTCAGGTTCCCCCATCCAGACCTGCACCCCAGCCTCACCCTAGGCTCCGCCCAGCACCCCCTCACCTAAGGCCTCTTCTCTTCCCTGGCACTTCAGGAGGCTCCAGTGGCTCCTCCAATGACAACCGGGCCTACCGGTACAGCAACCGATATTGTGGGGGCCCCGGGCCCCCCATCACTGACTGTGAGATGAACAGCCCCCAGGTATGGGGCTCGAGGGTCTTTGGAGGTGGGCGGTGGGTGTCTGGGGCCACAGGACCTGGGGCCTTCCTCACACGCGCTACGATTCTTCTTTCAGGTCCCACTTTCCCAGCCGCTGCGCCCCTGGGCGGGGGGTGATGTGCCCCACAAGCCACATCAGGCCTGTGCCTCCGCTGTGTCACTTCCAGGGCCGGGGGCCCAGTTACTCCCCCAACCCCACTGCCTTGGCCGACCCCCATCACCAACCTCACCGCCACCCCCGGAGCTGATGGATGTGAGCCTGGCGGGCGGCCCTCCGGACTGCTCCCCACCTCACCCAGCACCTGCCCCCCAGCACCCGGCTGCCTCAGCCCTCCGGACTCGGGTGACAGGAGGTCGTCCACCCCTCCCACCCCCCGACGACCCTGCCGCTCTGGGACCTCGCTTGGGCCTCCGTGGTGTGCCCCAGAGCACAGCAGCCAGCTCATGACCCCGCCCTCTCCCTGGGGCCCCTCCTGAAGCCATACCCCCTCCTCCCATCTGGGGGCCCTGGGCTCCCATCCTCATCTCTCCCCTTGACTGGAATTGCTGCTACCCAGCTGGGGTGGGTGAGGCCTGCACTGACCGGGGCCTAGGGCAGGGGGTGGAGGAGAGGGGTTCAGGCGTACCCTCCCCACTAAGGACTGGACCCTTGGCCCCCCCTTGTTTTCTATTTATTGTACCAAAGACAGTGGTGGTCCGGTGTTGGGGAGTCCCCTCTCACCCCAGGGCCCTAGGAGGGGGTGGGGGCAGGTAGGGGGAGATGGCCTTGCTCCTCCTTGCTGTACCCCCCAGTAAAGAGCTTTCTCACATGCCTGCCTGAACGTTTGCAGGGGTCCGGCTCCCCTGGCTCAGTCCTCAGAGGCATGGTGGGGAGCGTTGTTGGGGTCGGGGTATGAGAGCTCTGCCACCCGGGCTGTTGGCGCAGGCAAGGCTGCTGTGGGCCAGGGCTCCGGAGTCCTAGTCAGGAGTCCTGGTTAGGGTTCTAGCTCATTTTTGCAATCTCCGGGGTAAACTGAACAGGCCCAGACCCCAGCATCAGGTTCTACCCTAAAAATCAGAGCTGTCACAGAATCCACCAGGAGAGAGAGGCCCTTTATTCCAGGCAGGCATCCACTAGGTGCTGAGTGCATGTAGCAGGCCTGAGGAATGGCAGGCAGGCAGGTAATGGGTACAGACTTAATAGTGACCCCGCCCCCCAACCCTCCCCCACGTCTGGTGTCACCCTCTGGAACCAGTGCGAAGCAAAGCGTTTTTGAGATTCTCTGATCAAAAGATATTCCGAGGTTTCAGGTAAGTGAGCCTGTTTCCGTGGCATTTTGGAAACCTCTGCCCCCCGAACGGCCAATTTAGGGGCTTCTGATTCAAAGAGTAACAGTTTTTCTGCCACTGGTTGCGATGCTTTCTGGGGAATGGAGTTTTACCTAGTGTTCCCCGCCCCCTTTTCATTGGCGAACTACAAAGACCAGAATCCTTTTTTGCTAGCGTATTTGGGGGCGGGTTCTGTGGCAGCCAATCCGCAGTTGGGGGCGGGCCGTAGGGGCGCCGCCCGGGAAGGGTGAGCGGGCGGTGTGGGGCTGTGCGCAAGCGCGTGGGTCTGCGGCGTGCGGGAGCGGGTGGGAGCGGCCGGAGGTCCGGCTCCTCGCCGTGGTGCAGAGGCGGAGGTAGGCTCTTCCTGACCTGGCCGCGGGGACCCGTGAGGGACCCGCGCGGGTTTGCAGATAGAGGCGCGGGGGAGTGATGCGCAGAGGCGGCGGTGCGAGCTGCAGGTGCTTGGTGGTGGCAAGATCTGGAGAGTTCCGTAGGGATCATCGTGGAATATTTTATTGGCTATGTCGGGAGCTTGGAGTTTGGGGGTCTCAAGGAGCCCCGGGGGGCTTTCTTGAAGGGTAGGGGAAATCCTCCGTCTGGTCCGGGAGCCCAGCCTGGCCGCTGTGGCCGGCAAGAGGACTTGAGGGTGGATGGGGCCGGGATCTTGGGGTTGGTTGCAGGTGGGTCCCATGCGAGGGCTGTCGGGTACTGGAACCGTGCCGGGCGTGCTGCGAGCGCTGAATTCTTCCTCTCCCTCTCTTCCTCGCTTCTGTTGGGGTGGTGGTAAGGAGCTATCTGAAGAGCAAGTGTGACCTCTCTTTGGCAAAGGATATTGAGAGCAGAGAAAGGTTGAGTAATTTAGGAACTTAAGGAGGACTCAGGTGGGCCTGAGTGAGTTGTGTGACCATCAATCCCCTTAGCGAGGTGCGTGAGGAGCGACCCGACTCTGGTCGGATTGCGTGGGCCTTTGGGGAGCTTGGGCTAGGCCTGCTATGCTCATCCCAGTTTGTTTCCCGGCCAGACCCTCCCCTGACCTGTCTCCTCTCCTCCCTGGAGAGGTGGGCATGAGAGGAATCTTGGCTGAGATCCTTTCCTTCCTGTTCCCCAGGGCGGTCCCCCCCCCCCCCCCCCCCCCCCACACACACACACACAAGTCACTGCTCAGACCTGAAGTTCTGGCATTGTCCTTGACTCTCCACTGTCTCCCGAACATGTTCCCAGCTCTTCCCCCTGGACCGGCCCACAGCCTCCATGCTCAGTCAAGGTGCCGTGAGAGCTCTGTGTCAGAGCTTCCTGTGGCTCCATGTCATGGCGCACCTGCCAAGTATCCCCAGTGATTGCCCCCTCCCACCTCTCCCTCCTTGCTGCCTCAGCTCTGGCAACCCTGTCTTCAGAGCTGGTTCCACTACATCCATCTGTAGCTGCCTTTCCTTAACTTTGGTCTTAGCACCTGTGTAGCTGTTAGGAAACTGACATGCCTTGTGGTCCACGCTCCCTTCCTCTCTAAGCATCAGCAGAGCCGGGTGTTCTGCTTATTCCATGCTTTCATCAGCAACACCCACAAACACTTAACCCAGGCTAGGGGCACCATAACTATTAGGATGGATGGAGGGACAGACAGATGAGCAATTTCAGAGCACAGATCCTGGTTCCAGCAGCCCAGGGACTCTGACAGTCCTCTGTACATAGAACGTGAAGGAGACACCATAAAGTTTGCTAAGGTCTTCATAGGTGTCTCGTGTCACAGTGCCTCTGCTCTATGATCAGCATTGGGAAAACGGCCAGGATCAAATGGGATTCCTGCCCCCCAACCCCAAGAGCTCATGTTAGGGTGGTGATGGATATTATCAACTCTCCAGGCGGATTGGACGCGGCAGGGACAGAGTGCTTCAGAGCATGTGCAGGACACCTAACCTACACCTGCACATATTCTGGGAAATGAGGTTTGAGGTGGTGGAGGGGGTGTTCAGACCTTAAGAAGCAAAAGGGGATAAGGTGCTTGAGTTGCATGCAGCTGACCTGAGTTCTGTCCCAGGTTCTGCATGGTTCCCCAGCACCATGGGGTGTGGCCCGACCGCTCCCCACTAGCACACCTCAAAAAAAGGTAAGAGGGATCAGTGGGGAAGAGGGTAGAAGCCCCAGAGATTGAGAGGAGAGGAAGAGACCAGATCATTCAGGCCCCTGTAATAAGTGTGTCCTGGGGTGATAGTACAGTGGGTAGGGCTCTTGCCCTGGTGGATGGTATAGCGGATAGTGTACTTGACTTGCATGTGGCTGACCACGGCATCCCATGCGGTCCTCCGAGCATCACAAGAATGATCCCTGAGTGCAGAACCAGGAATAACCCCAAGTGTGGGTGTGACCCAAAAAACAAAAAGAGTGTCTCCTGGGGCCAGAGCAATGGTACAATGTGTAGGACACTTGCCCTGCACAAAACACAAAGGAATATGTGTCCCTAATCCCCACTTATTGTCAACAACAACAAAAAAAAATGGGAGCAGGGAGTGGGCAGGGGAGGCATACCTAGCAATGCCGAGGAGATACTCTGGGGGTGCTCAGAGGACCGTATGGGATACTGGGGATCAAACTTAGGTCAACCACTTGCAAGGCAAATATCCTCCCTGCACTGGGCCCCAAATTTTAAGTGAAAGGAGACAGGGTCACTTTTGTGTTAGACATTTCCCTCTTGGCTGCTGCCTGGGGAATTGTTGACTGGAGAGGATTGAAATGTAAAGTGGCCCATTGGCAAGGTCAGCGTCATTAAGACCAAATAGCTGCTCCTGAGCCAACCCCACCTTCCTTGCTATCACTTCCTGTGGACTGATGCGGGGCAGAGTGGTGCTGGGGGCTGGGCCTGGCAGTGTCTGCTCTCTGGGAGAGCCCAGGCCAGCCCCCAGCTGCCGTAGTGGATTTACCCCAGGTGCCCAGCCCTGCTCCCAGCTGACCCAGGAACAGAGAGGAACAGGCCTGACTCATCTTGGCCACATTCCAGCACCAGAGCACAAAAATGGCTGTTCTCTTAAGGCACTGTTTGGGGATGATTTGTTACCCACTTGTAGCTAACCAAGACCAACTTTAGGCAGTTGTACCATTTTCTGTAATTAGCCCGTTTAATCCTCAGTCACTGTGATGTCGTTACTCTCTTTGTACAAATGAGCAACTGATTCCTATTCAATTCCTATTCAATTCCCAGCATAGCATTTGTCCCCACACACTGCCAGGAGTGATGCCTGAGCACAGAGCCAAGAGTAAGCGCTGAGCATTGCCAGATGTGTCCAAAGATTTTTTTTAATGGACTGCAGCTCACTGGGATAATCTATGCCTTCCAGATTAATTAGACCTGGGTCTAATCCCCAGTGTCCCCCACAAAAAAAAGAAACTGGGCTGGAAAGAGTTCACCAGCTGAGCATATTTTTTGCAGATCCAATCCCTGGCACCATCTGATTCTCCAGCCCCTGAGCTGGGAGTAACTCCTGAGCACTGCCAAGTGTAGCCCCAGACAATCTAATTGTTCAGGAAGGTGGGTTAGCAGATCAATAAATGCATCCTGAAACCACTTACTCCTAACGCCCTCAGGTCAGAGCCCTCCCATGGCTGAGGCACCTTTTCTTTGAAAAGTAGGGCTTGTCCAGGTTCTGGGCTCCCCTGGAACTGCAGAACTGCAGGGAACTGGCAGCCCCCCCCCCTCCCCGCCTTCCCCCGCTGGGCAGGGAGCTCAGGAGCAGGAGGCTGAAGTCAGGTTCTTGGAAGGCCCTTGAGTAGAGCAGAATGGCCGCGGGCTTGCTTGGGACAAATCCCACAGAGCAGAGCACTGTTGGGAAGCCAAGGTGAGCCCACAGAGCCAGCAGCCAGGAACTGGCATGCTGCTGGGAGTTCCAGGATGGACTCACTTCAGTCTTTCTGACATTGAACTTCTGTGCCTAGCGCTATGGAGGGGCAGGGAAGATCCTCCCAGTCCTCATGCTCTGGGGCCTGGCATGAGTGGGGGACGATGGGGGATGAGCCAGCATCATTGCATCTGTGGGGATGTTATCGCTCAACAGACACTGCCGTTTCACAGGGAGGGGTTCAGGAAGATCTGGAAGGAAGGATTACAGAAGCAGGGCCCTGAGGAAAAGACAGCTGTGTAGGTCTTCCTGCAAAGGATGTTGTAGGGGTATGTGTGTGTTTTGCCAAGGGCCTCTCTGAAGCAATCTTATCGCTAAGCCATATCCCCAATCCCTAAGAAGGACATTCCAGGGCGGGGGAGGGGGTGGGGGGAGCAAGTGCAGAGGCCCTGTGGCATGCTTGACGCAGCAGAAAGAATCACACTGGACCTGAGCACCAACTGGGCCAGCAGATGCAGTGGGGAGGCCTCAAGGCTGATTGGATCCCAGTGCGTGGGCAGGTAAAGGCAGGCACCTAGAGTCTGAGAGCTGAGGTCTGATACAACCTTTGCCTGGGTGCCAGTTTGCAGAAATTTCCTAAGGGCCTGCAAAATCCCCCAGCCCCAGTGGCGGCA